AGGCTTGTTTTCTGTTCCTACACTAGTGAACTAGTGCAATAAATTGGAGTAAGGCTGAAATCACATGATGCGGAATAGGAGTACGGAATAGAGAGTGCGTTATAGAAACAGGCAATCAGAGCTTTGCCGTATCAACGAGTGACGGAAATGTCTGGCTCTGATTGGTTGCTTCTATGACGCACGTTCTATTCCGCAGCTCTATTCTGCACCATGTGATTTCAGCCTAAGACAAGCATATTTTTTCTCATTCTAGCTTACTGCACTAGTTCACCAGTGCAGGAACAGAAAACAAACCCAATGGGTCTGTTTTTTATTACTGCACTCCTGAACTAGTGCACACTGGTGCAATGAGTTGGAATGAGAGGTAATCTATTTGTTTCATTTTAACTTATTGCACTAGTTCAGTAGTGCAGTAATAAAGAACAGGCCTAATGATTCTCGGTTCTGTCTACAATGCGAGTCGCAGAGTCGTAGTCGTAAGAATAATCGACTGCGATTGGTCAATTCTTATCGAGCGACTACGACTACGACCATTGTAGACAGAACCGAGAATCATTGTAGCGGAGGCTTTACCCACTCTAGGTACTAGTCGATGCCAGTCGTCGGCCATCGGCCGAATCCGGTTCCGCTCCCCCTCGAGTTTGAATTCCGTAACGGTCTCTCGCGGCGAGAGCGTTGCGAGCGGAGCGCGGAGCGGAGCGGAGTCGAGAGCCGAGGCGTGGAGCAGGAGCAAACGTCCCACTCTCTCTCTTCCCACAGCGAAGGCGCCGTGGGTGTACGCGGAGAGTGCGGGTCGCCGGGAGTTCCCCGCGCGCGGCACCGTCGACGACGACGACGACGACGACGGCGCGCGCCGCGCGACCGCCTGACGTAACGCGACTCCGCGAGTTTCGCGCGCGTAGGCAGATCGCCGCTGATTAGCATCCGCCGCGGCGGAGACTTCGCCTAGTTACCCGCCCACTCCGACACATCCCCGCGTGTTTACTGCGCGCCCCGCGCTATATCGCGCTAATTGAACCGCTCCTATTTGCATTAACGTCGCGCTGATGACAGATCCACCTGATCGGTATCTGCTACTGCGCCGTACACCCGCAACTGGATCACGATGGAGGACGCGAACGAGGTTCTGGTGTGCGCGGCCGAATTCATAAAAGGTAATCCCGGCCCGGATTGGAATCTATTTTTGATGACCGCGCGGAAAGGCGCGCTCTTGTCCGCGCGACTCGCGTCCCGCGGACCCGTGTCGTCTCGCGAGGAAGCTCCTGCTGACGTTTTTCACCTCGTCGCGACGGCACATCTGCGAGCAGGAGTGATGCTCCCTCGGCTAAAATAAATTACACACCAGCCTCCGGCGCGCTCGATACGTTACCTCGGCTGTTTCCTCCGAGACGATGTTCGTTACTGTCACTTTTGTATTCAGAATCGTCATCCACGCCTGAAAGTTCCGGATCTGTTTTTTTCCCCCCCCTGAAGATCTAGACTGTACGCTACAAAATTTGCCGAGGCGTCCGAAAGGGAGAGTCTCCTCTCGCCTGACGCGCGGAGCGAGGAATACAATTTGTTTTCCCTTCCAGATCGATTGTACTTCGTAACGTTCAGAACAGCAATGAAACCAAAAAGTACCCCAAACACACACTACTTCAGTATTGACAACGAGTTGGTCTACGAGAATTTTTACTCCGACTTCGGCCCTTTAAACCTGGCCATGCTGTACAGATACTGCCAAAAGGTTAATAAGAAGTTAAAGGGCATCGCGCTCAGCAAAAAGAAGCTTGTGCATTACACGACGCTGGACGCCGAGAAGAGGGTCAACGCTGCATTTCTCATGGGAAGTTACGCGGTAATGTGAACTTTTTCCCCTTGCGATTTCAGTGCGGGCCGCACGTCGGCGAAGACTTTGCGGAGAAAGTTGGTTATTCGCCAATGTGGGAAACTAATGACCGACGCGACCGGCGAATTCTAATTAAGGAAATTCACCGCGGAAAATATTGGGTGTGTTCCCGTTTCCTCTCAGTACCGCTGACAGTGCTCCCAATAGTCTCGAGCACTCAGTGTCGACGAGAAAGCGCGACTGGTTGCGTTTAGAGAAGAACGACTGCTTTGTTATTACGAAGGATACTGTGGTTTCGTTTGGAAACGACTTTCTCAGAGGCTGAATTCATTAATAGCGTCCGGTACTGGCAGTGAGAGGAAATGGGAACACACCCATTACCTCAGCCTGGGTGAGGTAATATTTTTCGCAGTACCGAATTTGCCAGTCATCGATCGTTAGTTTCCCACGTTGGTTAATTATTTACTGTGGGGACGACAAGTCTTTATTCGTGTTTGCTGTTTTTATTGATCGGCGCATTAAGATCCACTTTGAATTTTCAGATATTATACTGCAAGCGTACAGCGCAAGAAGCTTACGAATGCTTGACCAAGAGTCCGAACAGTCCCCCGTTTATTATGTTTCGCGACGCCTCCGTCGGGCCGCCGTGCTATCAGATATCGTTGAGGGACTGTCTAAGTGCTATATACAAGTGCCATCGACTTGGTTTCTTTAATTTCGAAGATTTCTGCGTTAAGGAGTACGAACACTTCGAGAGAGTTGAGAACGGGGACTTGAATTGGATAGTCCCTGGAAAGTTCATTGCTTTCTGCGGCCCACATGCAAGATCTAAAATGGAAGATGGTGCGTAATTCCTTCCACCTTGATTGATTTGCGACGCCGTAGTAGATTGTGCGAATGGAAAAGAACACGAGAAAGAATTCGGCGGAATAAATGTTTACAGACGTAAAAGGGAAGGAACACGCGGGTATGAGCGAAGTTCGAAGGCGAACGATATAGGAACGAAAGAATACTTTCTTTTAAGGAACGTACATAGTAAAAATTTGTGGAATTTTCGGTCTTTATCATTCGTATTGTCTCACCGATGATTTTATAACGGCAGTTGGATAATGCGTCAAGTGTTGTGTACTTTTTCTACAGGTTATCCACTCCACGGACCAGAGTGGTATTTTACGTATTTCCGCCGTAATAACGTGACAACAATTGTGCGGCTTAATAAGAAAGTCTACGACGCGTCGAGCTTCACCGATGTCGGCTTCATTCACAAAGATCTGTTTTTCATCGACGGTTCGACGCCGACGGATGCGATAATGCATCAGTTTCTCAAAATAGCGGACAACGCGAGCGGCGCGATCGCTGTACATTGCAAGGCAGGCCTCGGGAGAACGGGTTCGCTCATAGGTTGCTACATTATGAAGCATTACCATTTGACGGCTCACGAAACGATCGCCTGGATAAGGATATGTAGGCCAGGTTCTGTAATTGGGCATCAGCAACAATGGTTGGAGAGGTAGATACATACAGCCGTTGACAAAATTATTAGGCATCCTTCTAATCATTGTGCTGTACTATCCAATACCTGGAAAGTTTCTATGTTCAAAAAATTGTCTGGCAAAGCGTTCGTTGCTTCTATGCGGTAAATAACTTTTAAACAATAAAAATCTAGTACTAGATTCAGTACAGTATTGAAAATCTAAAGCCGACGGCACACGATATCACTTACTGGATTGCTTACGAGAGCCAACAGGGCTTAAGTCACCTGAACTAAAACTCTACTTCCTTATTGGTTCTCGTGGGCAATCCAGTAGGAAAAATAGTATCGTGCCGTTGGCTTTAGATTTCCAATGCATACTGCACTGAATCTAATACTAGAAAGATTTTTATTGTTTAAAAGTTGTTCACTGCCTAGAAGCAATGGACGCTTTATCAAACAATTTTTTGAAAATAGAAATTTTCCAGGTATTAGATTAAGTGTGTTACTTTTATACAAATATATGTGTAATTTGGTGAAACACTTTTTATACCCTTCTTTCCATTTAAAATCGCAATATATGACTTGACGTACGTTATTTTACACATTCCTTGCTATTAAAGAAAATTTTTAAGCGGTCACGTGTCGCGATTTTAAACAGAAGAAAGTGTGCAGAAAGTGTTTCGCTAAATTACACATACATAGGAAAGTTATTATGCTATAGGATCGAAATCTGTTAAATGGAAAGTTCATTGTTAGATTGTGTCATCGTTGCGAAAAAAGATTTGTAATTGAATTTGGGGCGTTGAAAACCTGCTATCTCATATTAGAAACCTGTTTCATAATAGAGGACTTTCCTCTACGTATATAAAAGTAGCACACTTAGATTAACAGTGTAATGCTCGAGAGGATGCCTAATAATTTTATCTATGGCTGTATATACACATCTGTGTGTCTGTGTCTGTCTTTTTATGTTTTCATTACGATGTATCTGATGATTTGAGAATTATACATTGTAAAAAAAAAGACAAATCTGTGTCCTTTAGAAAGGAGGCGTATCTCTGGTCGTTGCTGAAAAGACCGTTTGGAAGTCCGGTACATGAGTACGGGATATACTCGATGGCCGATAAACCTAGAGCAGCTTCTTTCCAAGGGGACGTGAAGAGTTTAATGGAGGATAATGTATCAGGGATAATGCATCGCGTGGACGAAATAAAGTTGGACGATCCTGGACCAGTGGCTGGGGCTAGCGCCACGCCTAGATACGGTACGTTGACTCAGGGTGATAAATTGTGCAGAATCAAAGCCAGAAGAAGAGGGATGTCGACAGCTCAAACTTCACTTAATACGAGCACAGGGACATCTACCGTTGTGCAGTAAGTGTTGAGTATATTAATCGTAGCCTCTTGCCCTTTTGAGATTGGGATTAACGTGTCACGTTACAGCCCATATTTGGGATCCCTCTTGCAAACCAGAAGTCAAAAAGGAACCATTACTACTCTAGTGGGAAATAAAGAAAGAGATCCCACTAAAAGGCTGCTATCACGATCCACCGCAACGACAGTCGTGAAAAGGTTAAACCATTATTTATTTATCTACTTCTCTACCTATACGTTACTCTGTTTATTATTTTTCTTGGAAGTAAATACTTTTCCTGTCTTTCTTCTGTCGTTCATGACACTATCCAGTTATTCTCATTTGCCCGGCCCCTTCTAAATTGCGCTTACACCAATTAACACATGCTTTCAATATATAAGATCAATGAAAGAAATTATATTGTTATATTGCATGTGTTGTCCGAAAGAAATAGGGTCTCTTTATCTTGACTGGAAATTGTAGAAACAGTTGGTTGGTCAACAGTAGCTGTGATCCATCTTCCTGCCGTATTAGGTCTAAACCGGCAACACAGAGCCATAACATCAACAACAATACAACTACCACCAATCCTGTTACAACTTTAACTGTATCAAAACCAGTGAGAAGGGCGAAACGTACCTCCTGCATGGCTGCACAGGCCCACGCTACAAACTCGTCTGCCAATCATTCAGTACCACAACCGCAACAACGCATGAATATGATCCTCAGGTCGGCAGACCGAGTTACTCGCTATTCGCTCAGGCAGTAAGTCAATAACTGTCCCTGTTTCTCGAATTTGGACCTAAATTTACGATTTTGTCCTTGCTTGTTTAATGTACAAGTAAAAAAAGAATTACAATATTCTCTTTCCTCCACCCCGCCAACCCCCATTGCTTCTGATTTTTTTCAGCTTTGCTTTGTTGTCATCGTGCAAGTATATTTTCTGTATACGACTTATCTATCCACTTATATCTCTTCATCTTTTATATTTTTCATCACTTATCACTATAAGTATACCAGAGATAAATTTCATGAGGCTTTATAGATTTACATCTGATAACAGCCAAATGTGTACAAATATTCTCAAAATATTTTATAACATTTCTTTATATATGCATTTACAAAGATTCTGTATCTATCTCTTACTTGTATACAAGTTGTAAACTGATTTTTTAATTTTTTTAAAATTAATTTTTAAAGAGAAATAATATGAAATACTAATTTGTTACAATTTGTTCTGTGTCATTGATAATTTATTCATATCGCATGTGGCATGACTCCTAAATTTTCATTTCTGTGTTTTGGTTAGCATGTTATTACATACTACAAATCTTATATAGGCCTGGGCAAATAACAGTTGAACAGAGACGTGTCACACAGGTTGAAGTTTATATTATAGTCCAGGCCTCGTAATAAGGTTACATTTAGTGCTTATGCAATAAAACAAGTAGCACCAGAGGTGGCTAACGAACCGACCCCATTTATTTCTATGACTTGCAGTGCGCGCACAACAAAAAGTTATAAAAGTGCATTTATCAGATGACTAACCGATATTCCCAGTGGCGTTGGGGAGGACTGTCAGGTAACTGGAGCATCTCACCAGCGCCGAAGATCTCATCGCTTAAACCCCATCATTCAGTAAAAAGCACTTCACTCTGATCTTCAATCCTTCAACTCGAACGAGTTTTGCCCAGGCTTTTATATCATAAATCAACGAAGATCAAACTATATCTCAACAAAATCATCAACACTGCATTATTAATTAATATGGTTTTGTCATATCTGCATCATGGGATATGAATTTGTTGCAGTGATATTTAATATATAGCTTACACGGCTTTTAATTGTTCTTCCATATATCAAAGTATTGCGATGCGTTAGATGTCTATAAAAGAAAAGAAAAGGGAAATCAGACTTCTGTTAATATCATCTTTCCACTTTAACTATCTGCTGGTCAGAATAAGCACACTTGTAGATATATATTTTCAAAATAATTTCGACCATACGTTTAATTTCTGTTTTCAATAATTTTTTCAATGTTGCCAAAATATTATTTTAACGCTCACGTGTCTTTTCTGCAAAATTCACTTGAACATATATATTTTACGGTAACGCAATCTAAAAGTCACACTCCTTCGTTTAATTTAATTCAATTTAATTTTTATACTTAACAATGTTTTTTACTATAAAAACAGAATAGCTTCAAGCATTATCTTTTCTCCTGTTATAACTATGATTAATGTACAATTCTTATTTCTTTTAAAAATATATAAAGGATCAACTTCAATCCACTGTATGATCAAGAAAGGAGTATAATGATAAATTCTTCGCCTATGGCCTCAAAATTAAAATTTATTGCACCTTTTGTTATATTAAAATATAGAAGTTTTTATATACACCTATATTATATACATATACAGATTTTTATTGTTATGAAAAAATTATTGCGGACCGGAATTGGATAGATTAGCAAGAAATAAAACTTATTTAGCATTATCGTGATATAGATAATGTAGTATGTTAGAGAAGCATTGTGCTGTAACTTGGTCGGTTTAAAGCAACTGTTAAAGAACTCGGAACACTGTAATTATGGCACTTGTTGAAAATTTACTTTCATTGCTTTGAGTTTCGACAAACGCATTAGATCAAGTGTTGCAATACCGGTGTATATATTGTATGTGCAGTTTATATATGATTCATGCAACTTATTTTGCCAGCGATGTTATTTAGTATATTTCCCGCTAAATATATTCATTAAGTTATAGATCTGTTGAAAAATCTGGATATATTAATTTATATATACATCTCTTATATTTAAATAAATTAAGTGTAGATTTTTACAAATACGCTATGCGACTTTGTATTATTTTTCCTCTTTTTTTTGTATCAATTATATATAATACATTGATAACGACAATTTTATTAAAGACAGAATTTTAATATGTAAGGAATATTAGTCTTCAGGTCTTTTTGTAAACATATCGTGAATACAATTTAATTATGTAATTTGTACAGACATTTCCTCCAGCGCAAAACATATCAAAAAATGTGATGAGATAATAAAGACTACGAGTATAATAATACAGTTATTATTATTATTATATACTGAGAATTTTTGTGCATTTAAAAGAAAATAAAATACAGTTTTAATAACATTTTACATGAAAGAAATCATAATTAATATCTTCGATGACGTTTCATCATATGCTTCAAATTGGCCTGAAGATGAGATGACGTGATATTGGATGTCTTGATGTAGAGCACCCTGTAAATTGTACATAACAGTATAAATTGATTATGAAATATTTGGAATACCTTTAAGTACAAGGTTAAAATTAAGCTGTTACTCTTACGAGTACCTAGGTTTTTCTGTACATTTTAAATTAGTTTAACAGTCTCGAGAATTGCACTCTGCGACATATGACAAAACGTAACTATTGAGAAAGCGTCATTTTTGCAGCGCCGTATTTTTATTTATTGTGGGAAGAACAAAAGTTTTTACACGCAATGAAAACGAAAAGATTATAATAAAGTTATACTTACAATTGCTAAATGAATCATTTTATTTTACATCTGAAAATTGCATCAAGGTGTACACGACAAGATATAAAAAGTTATATGAAAATAAAACTTGGAAACGGAAGTTTATGATAGAATGATGTTTGTCACATCTATTGAATTACAAAATTTAAGATTTTATTTTCATGCATTTTATATATATCGTACGTTGATGTGACTTGCATTATGTTATATGTATTAAAGTAAATTTCATTTGACGATTACAACTTTTATTATATTCTTTTGTAATTTTTGTTACAATGTATAAATACTTTTGATTATTTAAATACAGAGATGTTTGCCACAATTCAATAAAATTTTATAAACAATAGAAAGTTATTTAGGTCTCATAGCTTGAACTTTGCTTTCCAGCTTCCTTGTTTGCGACAAAAAAATAATTGAAGATATTAAATAACCAAACTAGTAATTCCAGAAGCTAAATCCAATATTTCTCTCTAATTTTGTATCTGTAATTACTTTAGGTAATCAATAAAAGTAAAAATTTGTATCAATTAAAAAATTCAAAACAGAAAAATATATTTCAAGATATAACAAAATTTTAAGTTATATCACAAGAATCTGTCCTAGGCAACAAAAAGGAATTGTCAATTTTGAATATCAATAATAAATAATATAGACGGCAGTCGTAAGAGTAACTTTAATTGTTGTTTATAGACGCTGTCAGACTATATCTAGGATAATTACAATAAGATTTATTATTTTTTATGAAGTTGATACATAGAACTAAAAGTATAGACATGTCAATAGTAGTTTTAGCGCAGGACTCTTGACTAAATACACACATACAAATGCTTTTACACATATGTATGTAGTTTATACAGTAGATTATATATACCTTAGCTGTGTATTCATTTATACAATGAATATGGAAGTCATTTGCTAATTATAGTGTTTAAGAACACATTGTTATTAAAATGTGATGTTTAGGAAAATTAAGTCTATTCGCCATTAGGTTGCAAAAAATTTGTAGAAAACAGTTATTTATTTTCAAATAAATGCACCGTGTACATTATAAAATTATAGCAAGTCTGCGAAATTCGGATGCCTATTAAGAATATTGTGAATTGTGTATGGCATTTCTTCATTATGTAATGTTCAATTGTAATGTTACATTGCAACGAGATCATTATTTCTTCGATAATACAATCATTGTCATCAAAATAAATCTGAAAGTGTACATAAAAATTATACAATAGCCAATTTATAACAACTATTGTGTCGCATAGTAAAATTACAAATGCAACATTACTAATTGCAGTGGATTAGGGGAAAAGTATCTTAGAGAGCAAAGATATTTCTATTCATTATAAAAGTGACATTTATTGTAACATTAGATTAGGATGCGAAATATCGGAAGAGTATTATTTAACATTGTATACTTACATACTCTTTGTAAACTTTTTTTATAATTACAAACTACTAAATGTGCTACATATATAAAAAAATTATAAAATATGTATAGATCACACAGTGAACTTTATATTGTGTTATATACTCAATAAAGAATATGTATTTTATTCATCTTTTTTGAAAATGTCTGTAACAACATAAAATTACATCCTAAATATTATTCATGCTCCTTCATCTGTGCAGGGAAAACTGTTTACAAAGTCAACTGCTAGTGATTTATAGGTCGTTTTAATTTTTATTAAAAAAAAAAAGAAATACAGTCTTCGGAGAAAATAAAAAATTAAAAATAATCTGCTACTTAATTAAAATATAAATGCAAAATGTAGCTAATGCTACCCAATGACTAGCAAATCCGAGTTCAGCCCACTTGTTTATGGTATGGCTATAGCTATACCCTGTTTCTTGCAGATCCGACATATCGAACATGAGACCTAAATAAGCCAAGTGAAACACCGCCAATCCAAAAAACGTAAAGTTTGTCACAAACACCCACCAACAGTTATACGAATTGTATTGGTGCGTGCATCTTTGTGTGGAGCACTGTTTAGACGCGACGCAGGCGTCGAAGGTGTCGGCGAGCACGGACCTGAGCTGAAACTCCACATACGAATAAAATCCTAGACTAAGTAACACCGCCGCCAATTGAAAGTTCCAGCCGTGCAAAAGAGAGCTTGTCAGATACGTGACGGTCACCGCGCCGAACTTCCCCAAGTTTCTGATACTGGGACGGAAGATGTCTGCGAAAAGTGAAATACAGAAATCAGATGTAAATTCCACTTCTATCCTTTGATGCAACATCGAGAGATCTCTCACCATTATAAAACTTTTGAAATGCCTATACGTACACGTTTTTAACCAGTAATGCATCGGAATGTTCCAGTGAATGACAACCTCAACAAGCGAGCGTGGGAACTCGATGTACAAGAACTCAACTATCGTCGACGACGAGAGAGAAAATCCTCCCAAAATTAACACTGCCGAAGCTAAGTACGATACGAAGTAGTGGGACGTTCTGAAGGACAACGCGTCTCTGTATGCCAGTAACCACCTCAATTATAATAAGAACATTTTTTAAACAACATGATGAAGTATTTATCAGATTAAATTGTGTACTCGTATACAATTTGAATACTAACTTCCAAGAGTTATCTACAAATATCCATTGCGTCCAGCAATTTGAGATGCTCAGAAAGGCAAAGGAGAAGAAGGCGAATCCCATACTGTACATTACCCACCATTTCGTCTGCAATGGGACTTTATTAAATATTATCGCTATTTTAAACTATTTTAGAAAACGCTTAGAAAAACGATTCATTCCTTATTAGTATACATATTTTTATACAGAGGAAAGTCCTCTGTTACGAGATAGATTTCTAACGTGGGATAGCAGGTTTTCAACACCCAAGTTCAATCGCAATCTTCTTTTGCAACGATTACACGATCCAAGAGTGAATTTTTCACCAAATAGATTTTGCTCCAAGGGCAAGAAATTCCTGGTGGGACCAACAGACGATGCCCATTAATTTAACAGAAGCTCTGCTATCTCATGTTAGAAGCCTATCTCATAATAAAGAACTTCCCCGCTAGTAATAAAAATGTTACGTGCTTAATTACGAAATACCTGATTAGAGCAACGTAACGACAGGTAATCCTTGAACGACACCCACGGCCCGAATAAACAAGTTACACCGCAGAACATGTAACCCATGAAACTGTAAACGTCCGGCAAGTCGCTCGAATCGCCGGTGTCGATGGCGACGCTAATTGCTTTCATCACCATGGTCATAATCACGCTGCGTACTTTATGCCATATCACTGGCTGCATTGAAAATTCGCTGAAAGTAAACTCCAAGTACTGCTTATCTGCTGAAGTCGAAGCGCGAATTAATCTACGATGCAAAACGTACCAGTACGCAATTGTCAATAGGGACGGCAAAAAGATCCCTGCGCCTCTGTGCCACCTTCTTGGCACGTGTAAAACACCGTAGGAAAATAGAGCGAACGCTATCAATACTGTCAATGACTCCTGCACGTAATGCTGGATAATATACAAACCTATAATGACCGACAGTACATGAGACACTTTGTGCGATATGTATTCTGAAAATGTAAATCGAACCGCGTTACTCATCGTAGAAACAAACCTGTAGAAAAAAATGTAGTATATTAACAACTTGCGTAAGTAAAGTAGTGAATCGACAGGGTCTCACCAGTATGAACAACTAGTCTAAATAAGATTGCGCTGCCCAATAAAGGCAGTATATAGCGTCCCGTATCGTACAGACTAGGGCCGAGACAATACTGGTACAATTCATGAAGGGTTTCCTTCTCCGAGTCCACGTAATCGTAATCGTATTCGACGTTGTTGTGCAAGCACTCGTAGTCCAGGCAGTCGTCCTCGTCGTCGTAGAAAACTGTGGCGCCCGCATCTTCCATCGCAGCGAGGACAGAGATAACTGATCAGCATAGCAGGCCGCGAGACTTGTGCTCCGTGTTCGGCCTGTGTTTTTTTTTTCAACGAGAAAAGGATGTAAAACTTGCAAAATTTCACGGACAAAAGAGAGCGCGCAAGCAGAGAGGTACATTTGGTAATTTTGCAGCGAGAAACAATAACATGTCAGCGTGCTTGAAATAGGAAATGCAAATCGTCCAGGTGTAAACAATAGAGTTTAAGGATGCGGATGGGCTCGCTGCGCATTCTTGCAGTGCTTTCGTATACATACACGACGTAACGAATTATTACAACAAGTACCTTCGCGTACCTTTGAAGTACCGCTGTTTATTCCACTTTATTCAAACACATAACCTGCCGAGCGTCGCTCAGTGTATGTACATAAATACCGACGAGGTTGCCGGCGGCCCAACGAAGTAGTATCGAGGACTGCCAACAGCGCTGAGAAATGGCTGATAATAGCAGAACACTGTAATTATCGATCATCCAGTTTGAAAATAATTTTATCATTTATTTGACAGGGCCTGAGCAGAATAGCTGCCTTGTACTCTTAAGACGTTTTATGTTTTGAATCGTTGTCTTAAAATTAACGCACAATAGCTGTCTTGTGTCTTAAGAATACAAGCCATTCTGCTCAGGCCTGTACTGTATTATTTTAAAAAAATGTACCTTTCATTAATGTTTTTTTTTTTAGAGATGCAAATTATTACACGCAAACACATCTTATACCACATGTTACGCGTCAAATTATTAAGTATTGTAAAAGGACAGTTGTCTTCCTTATTCCGTACATTATACGTTGCGTATGTGTATGTATTATGTATACACTTCAAAATTTCTTGGCGGGTCGGATAAAACTCGATAGAAATTAAATTCGAGTGGGAATTGTAGACAAATAGCGAGATTAACATTATATACTTGGGAAAAGTTTTTGAAACAGTAACGATAAATACTTGAAGATACAAACTGCGCAGAACGTCACACCGTCTAGGAAAGTCTAATAAATAAAGTGGAATTCTAATAATTCTTGCATATAAAAGGCAACTTTAAGATAGGAAGGGAAGAAATTGGAAACGGCTGGATATGACAAGGATTACATAAATCTTTATTAAAATTGAGATTGCTAGCTTCTTCGTTCAAACTTTACTATTTTATAGTATTTACAATAAATAAAAATGTAAAAATATATATTCAACATAAAGGTGCTTAGTTTTCTAGGCATGATACATTTTTAATATTTAATTCTCAAACAACCGAATATTCAAAGAGGGCAATTAATATCTTTTTGCTATTGCAAGAATGAATAAAATTCGTATGTTCATTTGCTTGTGTGCATACCTTACTACGTTCTAGTGCACCAGTTTAAATTAATTTAATCATTAATTTAAAAAACTTGGCAACATCGTTAATATTTTGCGATCACTCAGGACGAGGAACGTGGTTACTTGGTGTGGCATCAAGTGTTATTTTTCTGAGAAAAATTGAGAAGCGCTGTTACGTAACAAAAATCTACAAGTCCCCTGTATCAATACACTAAGAAGGCAATAGGCCTAAACTCTGTAGACATATTTGCGCTGCTTCTGCCTTTGCTTGTTTCTTGTTCGAACTCGCTACGCTCGGCTTATATTCGATGCCGTTTACTTTCACCTGCAATAAATTTATGCATGTGAATAACGTACCTATATCTACTAAATGTACATATTAAATTACTTATAGTAATGCTATTCACTTTGAAGAGAAAATTCTTCCTGTGATCTGGTCCAGATTCAAAGCACAGCTCGTAAACTGGTGCTCCGAGTTTCTTCTTTGTGCAATACTCTCCTAAAAGTGACACCGGATGTTTGCCTGGAACCAAATAATTGTACAGATAATCAAATAAATTTAAGCTTAAATTCATTTTTAAAAATATATAGAGGAAAGTCCCCTATTATGATTTAGGCTTCTAATATGAGATAGCAGGTTTTCAACATCCAAATCCAATCACAATCTTCTTTCGCGGCGATTACACAATCTAACAACAAATTTTCCACTAAATAGATCTCACTCCAAGGGCAATATAAATTCATGGTGGAACCAACAGACGATGCTTATTAATTTAGTAGAACCCCGCTGTCTCATAGGAGCCTGCCTCATAATGTTGTAAAGGCCAGGGCCCACTCGGGGCTGTAGAGCCGATTATGATGATGATGAAATTAGTATAATTAAGATATACCTTCCAACGTTTTGACAGTTGGTACCGTAGGCTTTGCAGCTTTGCCGACTTTCTGCATGATATCCTGCTCGGAAACTAATCCTTTCTTGTCCAATTTAACCTCGAGTTGTAACGGCTCCAAGGCCCCTTCTTTATTCTTACCCAGACCCTCACCAGGTCGCCAGCCCATCTTCTGCAGTAACGCCATACCCATTCCACCCGTTACAGGCTGTGCTGATACTAACTGATCCTAAATAATTTGTTGAATTAAAAGAGATAATAAATTTGTGTAGAGTTGCATCGCGCGGATATTCAGTAGTGAAATACAGTTTTAGAATTACAATATACGTCCTATACTTTTTGGAGTCAATGTATAATTGCTAAAAGGGACACGTATATTAGATGACAGAATTCAAATAAATAAGTAACTCATTAAGATAAGACGGATATAATATTATTTTAGTTATGATCTGAAAGAACCTCTCACTCTCTGTATCAAAATGTAACGTTAATCTGTTATACAATTTAAGAATACACAACACTTACCAAACAGATACATACCGAACAAATAATAATCTCTGCACTGGGCTGCCGAAGTGGTTTTTTTCTCTGACGTAGCTATATGCCTGTAACAAACCCTCAGGTGGATGCAGACTAATGCTAAATATCCCAGCTTTATGATTAAGAGATAATATACTGGCTTCAGGTGAAATCCTGTAGTAGGAAGCTGACGATAATTAGCAATAATCTCACAAGAGCTCATTATCTCCGTAATATCATTTTTAATAAATTAAATTTTTAGTTAATATTCTAATATATAATTTTTTTTTGTCCTAATTGCTCTTGTAATATAATTTATTTTCTAGAATGGGACAGACTTACTGGTAAGATTTTGATTTAAATTCACAACTTTTTTTGGAAACTTTGAAATTTAATTTTCATTGAAATAATAATGCTCCTGTGTCCATGCAGGCACAGAATCCACTCCTAAGTAAGAAATAGTCTGTGCCTACAACACAGTCTCTACTAATATCAATTTTTTTATTGATTCTAGTGGAGACCGTGCCTGAAAACTTGTTACAGGCAAAATTGGTGTCAATGGTGTACTTACTAAACAATGTCAGGTCAAAGCTACATCCCAAGTAGCTCGATATTAACATTATTGTTATCATAAGATATATTGGACCTGTTTCATTGTTTAGTAAGAGACAGGAAGAGAAGGGAATTATAATGGATGTGTATTAAGATGCATTTATATACCACATACATAAAATATTCTCTTAATTTTAATTTTGCCATATTTTTGAAATTACAGATCATTATTAAACATAATGGTTATCAAAATAAAACTTTTTTTGCAATGTATAACAATAATTTATGCTTGATTTGAAAATGCATCATGCAACGGGAGTTTCTGGGTTGGTTGATTCAAGGACGAATTTTGTGAAATCGAAAAGTGGAGTAAACTGTGCAATAGCAACTTTACCTTACGTGCCCAGGCTTGAAAACCTGAAGACAATTCTGCAGGTGTAAGCACTTTAACCCCTGTACTACCAGTAAACTGACCTGGTATCTGCTTACTTTCAGCCCAAGTTTTCATCTATATCACAAATGGAAAATTTATTTCACGTTGTGAAACTAATGCTATTTATGACAATCTATATCGCTTCTCTTTACCTCATTTTGTGCCCGATGTATCGCATTCAAAGCGCTCACGTCATTTGGATTTTCCCCCAATTTTCTTATAGCTGCTAATCTTTTAGACACTATGGAGCCAATATCCATAGGCTGTAATCGTCAGTTGATACATAATCTTATTATTAAATGACTATAATTAAATGATCAATATGATACGTTCTCCTTTTTACCTTCGTCGTCGTCGGGAAAACAGTTTGTGTAGGTTGCACAGGAGGTGGAGGCATTATAACCGCTGGTGGAGTCATTTGTAAATTTATAGAAGCTGGTACAAATATCTTTTTTGGTTCCGGTTTCTTTGGTGTAACAGGCACCCATTCGTTTTCTGATGGCAAACGTATTGTATCACATAGTTGCATTGGAACAAAGCCACAAATTGTACTTTAAAAGTTCTTACCGCTTTTTCTGTGATGTTGCCCACTGGAAACAGGAAACTGCAATCGCAACTGATTCGACGTTTCTGCTGTCTTTTCCTGGAACGTTTTTGTTGGCAGCTGTTTTGCATCCTGACAGAGAGAAATAAAATTTGGTTACACTTTCATGTTTATATTTGTGAAATGAGATTTGTGATCGATAATACAACGGATCTATATGTATACCTTAATGTTCATTATAATAGAACTAGGCCTTTCTTTTAAAAGGAAAGGATGATGAAATCCCTTCTCAGACTCACTTTCTTCATCTTCGGAAGAAATGCTAGATAATTCACCTAAAGCTTCAGACTTGGATAATGACTTACAAAAATCTGTGAAAATATAATATTGTATAAAAATAATTATAGAATTAATTAATAACAGAAAACACTATAATAAATTGATGTCATAAATACTGTAGCATATAATAAAATCACTGCTAAGATAAATGCAAACGAAAAAAAGTTACCTGTGAGTTCGTCCACTGTTTTCCCACCAGACTGTATAGCAGCAATAGCTTTATCTTTCTGAACTACTGACAGAGTTCCTTGTTTTATCATGCTTATGACATTTCTCCTTGCAATTTCTAAGAGCTTCTTTTTGTTAATTTCTATTCTCTCCCTAGAAAAAAGAAACGTAATATTACACAGACGAGATTGAGACAAACGTAAACTGTATTCTCAAATAATTTAATGTAATATTAACTTTCTCTCCCTGCTTGCACTTCGACCTCGTTTTTCACTGTGGCTTCTATATCTGTAGCTTTCTCTGCTTCTGCCAGAGTCTCGTCTTTCGCTGCTTCTATCCTTGTCGTGCCTTTCCCTACTCCTGCTTCTCTGTTTTTCTCTCTTGTCGCTTTTACTGTTATGCGAGCTGTATCGCGTCCGCGACCTTGACCTTCTGTCTTGCGAGTGAGTGTCCTTGTCTCTCGTGCCTCTACAATTTGAAATTATTTGCGTGATTACCACTAATATAAATCCTTTCTCGTTCTACGAATTTTTTACCTTTTCCTCTCCTTCTCTTTCAAGACTAGTCTAAGATCGGATTTCGAAGTGACCGATCCTCTTGTCGGACTAAACATTTTGCTTCTTATTCTATCTCTACTTGGACTGAACGACGACGACCGGTTCCGAGGCGGAGTAGGACTCAGCGTAGGTGTTCTATTGTCATTGCTGCTGCTGTCGGACAACTCGCCATCTTCCATTCTCGCGGCTTTTGCCTTTTGGTTATTTTCTATCGCTTTCACCGTATCGTTATAAACGGTACTATTCTTGAGATCCTTTATCAATATCTTTCCTTGAGAAGGCTGCTTAGGTTTTTCTATGTACAGAAAAATGTCATTTATTTTTAGACACGATCCTTTCTCCTTTTCATATACAGCTTTAGACACAATTATTAAGCATCCTCATAATCATTATACTATACTGAGTTTTAATATCAAGATTTTTATTGTTCAAAAGTTGTTTACTGTATCAATACAAGCAATAAACGCTCCGGTAAACAACTTTCAAACAATAGAGATCTTCCTGGTACTAGAATCAGTACGGTATAATGTACAGTACAGTATTATGAGAGTGCCTCGTAATTGTGTCAAGTAGCGAATTCAGTTGCCTGCACTAGTAAGCACCGAGTGCGCACAAAGGCTTGTTTACAGTCGATTCTTATATTTAAGGTTTCAAATATCTCTTGAAGTACTTCGTAGCCAGAAAAATCTATGCACCATATCTGTACACCATCCGTACGGATCATTTCTTCGGCTAAATAGTTTCCGAACATGTATTGAATAGAAGAATCGACTATGAACAAGCCTTAGCGTGCACCCTAGTGCGCACTAGTGCGGGCAACCGAACTCGCTACAAGACTGTACTCTTAACTGCCAATTACGTGTACATCTCTTTCGGTATCACGTACTACTTTAGAATATAAACTGTTACTGTTATTTGTACAGCGAGAAATACACACCAAGAAGTTTAGGTATTATTGGCTCGTCGGCTTCGTCGTCAACCTTCCTCGATATAGGCGGTAATGGTGGACTGCTAGGATTATCCAAGCGATCGTCCGTTGTGCCAGAATCTTTTTTCACGCACTGACCATCCGCTTTCGCCTCGTCATTCGCACCGGTCTTCTCTGATGCGTCAAGATGAGACTTTGAGTCATTGTCGTGCTCGACGCCTCCGAGATCATCCGTCTTTGCTATCTTAGCCTTAGTCGGACCCACGTCGGACGATCTGCTGGATACAGATTCGCGTCTCCGCTTGGATTTCTTCTTGTGTTTCTTCTTCTTCTTGGCACCTGATTGGGGCAAGGCAGAGAAGTGACTATGTCGTCGTACTGTGCCGAGCGGTAACTAATGAGAATCATTAGGGTCTGAGCAGAATGGCTGTCTTGTACCCTAATTTTTTGAGAGAAAAGAGAGAGAATGATTTAAGCTTAACTTAATTCGTTCTGTCTCTTTTCAACTGTTACTTTAGAATGAGACAAACGTGAATTAAATCAATCGTAAGATTAAAGTCAAGCGACATTTGGTGAAACTGGAGCAATCTTTGTTTTAGGGTCAGTTTCACAAACATCGGTCAACTGCTAACCTCAGGTTAATTGATCCTGTTACTTCTAAAATAGTAAGACAGGAAAGAATAGAGAGTTGACTGAACCCTGGTCAACAGCTAACAAACGTTTGTAAAACCAGCCCTTAAAGCGACGCACAATAACTGCCTTGGGTACTCGAGAGCACAAGGCAGCCGATCCTGCCGAGGCCCTTACTTTCTGCGCCGCTATCGTGATCCGAGGAATCGTGCTTCGACTTCTTCTTGTGCTTCTTCTCCTTGTGCTTGTGTTTCTTCTTCTTCTTCTTCGCTTGAGGCTTGTCCGGCTTGGCGGTCTCGTCGACGTTGCCATTCGGTACCTGCTGGTCGCTGTTCACCGGCGACGCGACGCCGTCGTCCGGCGTGTCGAAGGTGCTGAAGAGCTCCGTCAGGATCTCGTTGGACGACTTCTCCGGCACTCCGGGCTCCTGCTTGATCTTCACGCCGTCGACGCCGACGGTCGTGATCAGGTTCGTGATGTTGAACAAATCTGTCATCACGTTACTCCGCGTGCAATCGTTTACTTATTCGTCCCTGTCGCGCTCCCACGGTCTACCAAAGTTGTTCTCGCGAGGAGAGATTTTCCGCGTGCACTTCGAACAGCTCAAAGTAACCTCACTGACGTGTTCGTATAAGAATCGATTGAGTCTAGACTAGATTGGTCTAGAGTCTAAACGGCCTGGAGACCATGTTCTAGACTTTTAAAGGTGCCATCACATGGCAGCATCGAGCCGCAGACCTACATCTTCTTCTCCAATAGCGCGCCTCGATCTCAAGCCGCATATCGCACGAGAGCTTCGTCAAACGTCCATTGCGAGTTCGCCCGTCAGGGGCGTCAGGTTGAATTTCAAATCGAAGGCGCGCAGCGACACCTGGCCAGGCAAAACAAGAACCGACTGGTGGCGGTTTAAAAGCTAACGTCCGTTTTAAATCTCCCCTCGGCGTCTACGCTCTCGCCTCGCGGAGTGCTGGAACGATTTACGCCTGGGATCGACGCACGTATTCTAGACAGAATCCAAGCTCGCTCGACAGAGTCGGTGCTCCAGCCGTTGGTTATCTCTCGGCGCGTGTCTCGTCGCGACGGTTCGACCGCGTCGACCGCCTCGCCGGCGCGCACCACGTATCATCCGCAGATTCTCATTCTCGGCGTGTTTCAGAAATCTTCCAACGGCCGGTGGTTGCGCCCCGAGGACACGTGACGCCCGCTCGTCATGTCGCACCTTAGATTCATGAAGGAGATAGATAATCTGACCCGCATGGACGACACTATCAAAGGCGCGGTCCCGCGGTGGCAAAAGAAGTGTATGGAGTCGTCGAATACGAGGTAACCGGCTTCAATTTCGTCGAGGACCTTGATCCGACTCGCTGGTAGCTCACAGCCAATTCGGCAGCTTGCACTAGTGCGTACCGAGCGCAAGGCTTGTTCAGAGTCTACTCTTATATTCATGGTCAACTCAAGTATATGTTCAAAAATTATTTAGCTACGAATGCTAAACAAATCATTTTACTGGCCAAGAAGTAATTCAAAGAGTATTTAAGACGATCCTTAAACATAAGATCGTGCGCACTAGTGCAGGCTGCCGAATTCGCTATCAATTAACGCGAATCCTAAACAGGTCGGGCGTATTCGTCGGGTTCGCGCGCGTACACGACGGCATTGCCTAACACAAATCGCCCTTCGCGTTGTTTCAGCATTAATCAGAGTTTGAACTCGTCGAAGAAAGTTATGGGCTGCTCCTTCACCAGCAGCACGTCGGGAAAGAGCCCGGCGAGGAAGGGCGACTGCAAGACCAAGAAGACTCCCTCCAAAGCCATCAAGAAGTCGCCAAGTAAGTCCAATACGTTGCTGACGTGCAAACACTCGAAAGACAAAATTTTTCAAGCCGGTCGTAACAGGTCGAGCCACTACTCCAGCCAAGACACCCAACGGCGGCGACAGATTCATCCCGTCGAGGTCCACGACCAATTTTGAAATAAGTCACTTCAAGGTGAGTAAATTGTTTTGCGACGAGGCCTCGCGATATATCGCGGTACGTCACAGCTTTGCAGTGTGTGTACACACCGTTCTTTTCCCCGCTTCAGATTCTGCAGCAACAGAACGCCGATCAGGACAAGGACAAGGCCGACAAAAGTCCCATGAAACGGGAGATGCAGCGTCTCATAGGAGAGAATCTTCACGGTGGCGATATAAACAATACTAGGGTTTTGTCTTATCAGATTAAGGCACCAGCGCCGCCGGAGGGATACCAGAATCCTCTCAAGGTCCTGTACAGTCAAACCAAAACGCCGGCGAGCGTTAGAGCTTCTACGAGATACATACCGCAGGCCCCTGACAGAATATTGGACGCCCCCGAAATCATTGATGATTATTGTAAGCGGCCTGCGTTCGCGTTCTCTTATCTGCGGGAGGACGCGTGAATGAAAATATGATTTTTACAGATCTAAACCTGGTGGACTGGTCGAACAACAATATCCTGGCCGTGGCGCTAGGCGCCAACGTTTATCTATGGAACGCCGGAACTGGTACTATAGAGCAACTGTTTGAGCTGGAGGCGAACGATTATGTCTGCTCCGTCGCGTGGATTCAAGAAGGTCCGTACCTAGCTGTCGGTACCACAGTAGGAAATACAGAATTGTGGGATTGCAGTCAGATGAAGAGAATGCGCGTTATGAACGGCCATGTCGCCAGAGTCGGTTCGCTCTCCTGGAATTCCCATGTACTGTCGAGCGGCTGCAGGTAGTATGCCCGAATACGCAGGACAGTTAATTTCTCCGGCTGCCGTTGTCTGTAAAAGACATTAATTGATGTTTGTAAAAAATGATGCTTGAGTTTTGTAGCTATTAGATTAATGAATATAGAGGGAAGTCCTCTATTCTGAGATAGGCTTCTAATGTAAGATAGCGGGGTTTCTGTTAAATCAACAGGCATCATCTGTTGATTCCACCGTGAACTTATCGCCCTTGGTGCGAAATCTGTTTAGCGGAAAATTAATTGTTAGATCGCGTAATCGTTGCGAAAAAGGATTTGTGATTGAATTTGGGTGTTGAAAACCTGTTTTCCTCCAATAATCATTTGCGATTACGTACGTTTAATGAAGAATTTAGAACTGCAACTTACGGAAAGAAACTGAGATTGCAGCCAAAAGTGAAACAAAATTGAGATTATAAAATTCTGTTGTTGCTTCGAAGGGCTGGTAAAATAGTGCATCACGACGTCAGGGAACGAGATCACTTGATCTCGACCGTAAACGCGCACGCTCAAGAAGTGTGCGGCCTGAAGTGGTCGCCCGACGGGCAGTATCTGGCGAGCGGTGGCAACGACAACATGCTGCAAATTTGGCCGTCGCTCACCGGACAAAGGCACTCTCAGACGCAACCTCTTCACTCGTTCAATCACCACCAAGCTGCCGTAAAGGCGCTCGCCTGGTGCCCTTGGCAGAACAACGTGCTCGCGAGTGGTGGCGGTACCGCCGATCGGTCCATTAGGTTTTGGAATTGCAACACAGGCAAGTTATCGGAGAGGCGATTTGTGAATTATAATCAAGTGTAACCAAGTTTGACGTAGTGACGAGAGATGAGTGTAACGATTAGAGTGGTGATAAAATTAAGATTGCAACGTCATTCGGTTTTTCGCAGGTACCTGTTTGAATACGATAGACACCAAGTCTCAGGTCTGCGCTTTATTATGGTCTACAAACTACAAAGAGATCGTTTCTGGACACGGATACGCGCAAAATCAGCTGACAATCTGGAAATATCCGATGATGACGAAGCTCGCGGAACTTACCGGGCACACCAGTCGCGTTTTGCATCTAGCCATGTCACCGGACGGAACTACGATACTTAGTGCCGGTGCCGATGAAACGCTAAGGCTGTGGAAGTGCTTCCAAATGGACCCGCACAAAAAGAAAGAATCCAACGACGTAAAGTCGGTCGCGTCCAGACTTAAACAATCGATTCGATAAAATCGACGCATATTTCTTAGCAACGATTTCAGTATTTATTTTTCTGATTGTATGCGTTCGGTATATAATATAAATAGAAACAGTATAGATGACGTTGCGTCGGATATTTGTCGAACGTAAAAATATGGACGTATCGAATCAATTGATTGATCTATTTTATACAGAAGTAAAACAAAAAAAAACACAAAAGTATTTTATATCAAGAAACACGAGGTTGTATTTGGGATGCATACGTGACTCGTGGAAAAAGTAGATATGAGAATACATTATTGTAAAATAATTTGAAGTACAAAAAACAAGCTTGCGTTAGTACCGTGGGCTCTTTTATTACACGAAAATTCAGGTTTTACAAGAAACTGCCGTTTCTAGGGTAATAATTGTAAATGTGAGCAATAAAAAAAAAGTTTTTGTAAGTCGAGGCGTCTTCACACGTCATTTTGCAATAATCTTTCCGTGACCATCTTGCTAATTGTCAGTTGAGAAAAGTCTATTTTCATTAAATAAGAACAAAGAGCGCCAATTTTGAGGTCCGAGTAAGATGTAGGTAGCACAGTAATTTAAAATCTAATCTGTGACTTTACATACCGTCCTCCACCTGTCCTGCCTGCCGTTTTAGACTTTAAATTACTGTGCTACCTGCATTCTTTGCTCGGTCCTACAAATTGGCGGTCTCTGTTCTTATTTGATTAGTATCTTAATGATTCCGATTTAACTCTATTTGTCTATTTTTATTATTACATTTGAAATTTTTAATAAACTTATACAATCTGTATATATTTTTAAATCGCGCGTCTCTGATGCTTCTTCGCACTGTCAGTCTCGCACACATATGAGAACCTTACTATACCTTTCACACATATTAGAGTAAAGAGGTGCTCGGCGTCTCCCCACTCTTTCTCTCTTCCCAAGCATGCAAGCCTTGTATTCATCAGGTGGAGTACACAGGTGCGTCTGGGTAGTAGCAAAGCTTTGAGTCTACTTAAGCAAGCTTGCTCATAATCAAGATATATAAAACGAATAAAAACAAATGAAATAATTGATAGACTTGCTGAAATCAGGATATCAGTGCGGAAAAATATGGTACTTGTTTTACATTGAACGTTACAATGTTGCATAAGTTCAGGTGTTATTTATAAAATGCTTGCAGAGCTGGATGTTGTGAATATTGAGGATATTTTTGACACAATAACATTATCACCGGGACATGAGCGAGGCGGAGAGCAAGAGTGCTTTATTGAAGTCCAAATGCAAACAACCGTACTCCGCGGATATCTGCAACGAAGATGACCATGATTGGTGGGCAAGTGACAGCGGTTCCAGCACAGGGTCATATTACTCCGACACCGGCAGGTAAATTCAATCAGGCGCGTTTGAAAAGAATATATTTTTTTCACGATTTGATGTAAATGCAGTTCCCTCGTTGAATGGGAGTCGGAGATCGAGCCCACCGGAGATGTATTCTACATAGAATCCGCGGAGGAAAGTCTGCTCGAGAATCCCACAACTTCGGAGGACACCGGCGAGAGCCCCCAGCCTGAATTAACGCGTCGTCGTAGCACGAGGGCTGGCAAATTGTTCCGTCTTATTAGACGCAAGGAGAGCAAGCGTTGGAGCACGAGAAACAAAAGGATCAACAACAGCGCCGCAGCGATTAACGCAGCTGCTCAGGAGAAAGGAGATGGAGGCAAGGAAGTCAAGTTTCAAGATTTCCAGGTATTGAACGAAGCCTCCAACGCAACAACGGCAAACTAATGTTTCGGGGAAAATTGAAAAGATTTTTAAAACACGCAAGCTAAGAGTGAGACGTAGCTGTAGTCTGATAAAACAATCTAATGCGACGAGCGAACGTCATGTAAAATCTGCCTCTTGTATTTATATAACGACGTACGTAACTGTCCGTAATGATTAGGCGGGAGAAATTCGAGAAGTCACGTTGTGGATCGATCCCGAGAGAAGACACAAGCTGGGGCGACGGGCAACCCTGTGCGAGGCATACTTCGGCATCACCCCGGGCGCGTTCTCGGACAAAGTGAGAGTTATGGTGGCAGGATTTATACCTGACGGCGAAGCTATGAAGAACAGAAATATAAAAATCGGGGACTGGCTACGGAGCGTCAATTCGAACGACGTTACTTTCCAAAATTTAGATCGGATACTATCCGAAATCACCACGCCGTCAAGTGTAAGCTTTACTTGATAAATCTTGCAATCAATTATTGCGAGTCTGTCGCGCAATTATGTATGTAATATTTACATTTGTACTGAATTTTCGAAAAAAATTAACGTAAAAATTTCCCATCCACAGGTAACACTAGAGTTGCAAAGGGTGGCTGGTGTTGACGTCACTGCGAAGCTACCGAAAGTAAATGAACCGAAAGTAATTAGTTTTCGTACAAATATGACGGTAATGGCGATCAGATAGGATTGTACAGATCGTATTTTGTTTTTAGCAATCGACGTTGGTCCAATATTTGGTGAATAAAAAAAGCAGCGCTTCTTTTATGGAATCCCTGTTGGACTGTCCGTTGGGCGTGATATATTTAAAGACTGCGGACCTTTCGGAAATGGGACAAGAGTTGCAGGGCGTGTTGTACACATTTCCGCGATCCGAAACTAAAAACGCGCATTCACCCCTGTGCACGGCAAGAGGGGCTTTTATAACTCTCAACCACTTGTTACCCAGTATAGTGGGCCCGCAACCACTCAGGTATATTATATTTATGTGTACTTAATATTGTATTATATTTATAAAAATAGGAGGAGTCTCCTATCATGAGATAGGCTTCTCTAGGATGAGATAGCGGGGTTTCTGTTAAATTGATAGGCATCATCTGTTGATTCCACCATGAATTTATTGCCCTTGGAGCGAAATCTGTTTAGCGGAACATTGATTGTTAGATCGTGTAATCGTTGCGAAAGAAGATTTGTGATTAAATTTAGGTGTTGAAAACCTGCTATCTCATAATAGAGGACTTTCTTCTATACATGTGTCATATAACGTATATTTTCTAGTTCGACTATCCAAATAGGCGAAGAAGAAATGCATATTGCATACACATCCCGCGACGATGAATTACTTTTGATAGCTTTACCTGGCAAATGGTGAATTTTACAATACAGTCTCTGGAAGGAACGCAGCAGTTATTTCAAATATATAAGCTTTACCGATTGCTTCTTTGCAGTTGTTCCCCTCAGGAGATTGTCAAGATTACAGAGGATATCGTCAGAACGCTGGAATTTACCTATCAATCGCTAACAAAGTGCTTTACTTCGGTGGAAAACCAGTCCTCTTTAGATCACTTTTTCACGCTAATCGTGCACAGATTAACGAGTATTAAAGATTCCTGCAAGGATGCTGACAGTAAAAGGAATTTGGCGAAGCCGCAAAACAGTATCGAGAGTGTGGAAAATTATAAGTTTAGAAGCGCTTTTTCAGTCGCAAATTTTATACAGTTACCGAGGGACGCGCAAATTCAGATAGATGCTGCGCTAAGCGAGATGGAAGCGATGGATTACAGAGACTGGGTATGTCGATACTCATTTCAACTGCAATTATAAATGGTCGATATTGTGCTTACACGTTCTCCACTGTATAAATCTATTATATCTAATAGACGCGCGTGTTTGACAGAACGAAGATCCTATGGATTGTCAAAGATTATACACTATATTAGGGAGCTGCATTTATCACAAGTGCCACCTTCTGGGATCTCATTTGCCTCACGAAGACCTGATCGATGTACATTCCTTTCTGAGACACAACGGTCTGTTAAATCTGGTGAGCCAGGAACAAGTGAAGTGCCTGGTTCTGTGGAAACAGATTTATCCGTTGTCTTGCAATCGCGGGAACGTTGACAGCAACGACGGCGGCCAGTTATTGATACCTAATGGAAAATGGTTTTTATTGGTTGTCGGATACGGACACGATTTGTTAGCGGTGCTGTTGGAATCCGGCGGGTGCACCGCAAAGTGAGCGTATATCATTTTTCATACGCAATTCGAATGTTCCCAGTCAGCAAAATGTTAGCAGATTGGCATCAGATTGGCTAGCAGATTCATCAGAGACCTACACCAAAACCATAGCTATCTGTGTCCGCATTTGGCTTTTGTTTTGGCAACAGAGTCTGTAAAAAACATACGCTGTCAACAGATTGTGGGCAGAAACCGAGCAGGTCCAGTTATGCGAGCAGATTTTGTTGTATTTCTGCTGGCATGCTGGCAACATGTCGTATATATTATTTCCTGTATGCAATCTGCAGTCGTTCTACCTTCAAAATTTGTAGTGGGCATTTGACGAAATCTGTTCTGACAGATCTGGCTGGGTTATCTTCTATTGAAGTTTCGTCGTGTAATTAGGTACAACGACGCGATAGGCCCGGATGTATTTTACGTGGAAGAAGCTCAGGAAACGCTGAAGCACGTGCAAAAAATAGGAGTCACAGTCCTGGCCTCAAAATGGATTGCGTCGAATACCAGACCGGAAGTGATACCGTACGAGGAACATACAACGGCGAAGCCGTCATCCAGTATAACGGAGAACCTATTTGGTCTAATAAAATCGTCCGACGCGCAAACTGTGCCGTCCAAGCAAAATGTCAATCCGACTATTAATAAAAAATCGCAAGAATTGCCTTCTATCTTGAAGAAACGTAGTCCCGAAGAAAGTCCCGTGATCTCGGGCTCCGGTAAGTTGCAACGGAAACAGCGAAGCTACTTCCCCAAGATATTTCTTATATCCGAATTTTCTTTGTTATTTTGACAATATATGTAACGCGTCATACAACAATGATTTTATTTCTTGCACGAGCTCTATTTTATAAATATATTTTTCATGTTTAGTATATTCCTTACAAACGTCCGAAGATTCGCTCAGCCAAGGAACAGGTGGTATTAGCGAAATGAGCGACGAGGCAATGCCTATACTTGGAAGACGCGCAACCAGAGAGAAGATCAATTCGGCATCGAGGTATTCTGATGACAGCGATTCAGATATAGATATATATAAGGTAACTCTCCCTCTCATAGCAATCTAGACACAAGTATTTACAACGAAAAATTCAGGGTGAGCAACTAACACAGATAATTGATAGAGAAAAATCTTCTATCATGAGATAGGATTCTAATACGAGATAGCGGAGTTTCTGCTAAATTAATAGGCATCATCAGTTGATTCCACCGTGAATTTATTGCTTGGTTTGTTTAGTGGAAAATTTATTGTTGGATGGTGTAATCGTTGCGAAAAAAGATGTGTGATGGAATTTAGGTGTTGAAAGCCTGCTATCTCATATTAGAGGTCTTTCCTCTACCAATTTATGTTAATACTAATATAGTACCGGCCACAATTGTATCACTTTTCGACCTTTTGAGTATAACTTTCGTCAAAGTGCATCGAATGTGCTAAAAATTTTATAATAGACACCTGATAATAGGCGCGTCTTGTACATGAGGGATAATAAAATTCGACAAAATACACCGTGATTTTCGAATTTTTCATTCGTGCACTTTAAAACTAGCTATGCTCAGAACATCGAAAGAATGATACAATTTTGGTCGGCACTGTATATTTACCAATATATTTCCTTGTAGAGCGACAGTAACGTGCTCACAATGGATATATCCAACATACGAGAGAACTTATTAAACCAAGCGGAATACCTGATACCGCAAAAGCTGACTGCAGGGGATAAAAATTATTTGTATCATTACGTTCATTTGGACATGGTAGAAGGGATTCTATTGTCGTCAGTACCTATTCACGGTACACCGAAGGACAAGATTCTCGTTAACTTCAACAAGTGTGTACACGTTATCCACAGACTGCTACGTAACACAGTCAGATTTAAGATGTTAAATCAAGACATAGATAAAACGGTGATCGATAGAAGTTTAATCGCCGTTAAAGAACACGGTGTATTATTCGAGTGGGAAAATACAGCTTTCTGGGTGATCGGACGCCTCTACACAAGTCCACACCCGAAGGAGTTGTATGTGTGTCACCAAGACTCCGCGCCTCAAAACCTAATCGAAATAGCTTTCCGGTTACACTCGTAATAGACCGTGTACGTACCACCTGCTGAAAAAAGACACGATACTTTGAATTTTGTGTCTTACTAAAAGTCAGTTTTCATTATGTACGCAACGCTGAACATCAAGGGCTTTTAGCAAGCTTCATTTTTTTATTTATAGTAAAAAGTGAATCTCGCAGAATTAGTTTTTGTTACATTTTATTATAACAATATTAAACAGGTACTGTATTATTTATATTATACAAAATTTTATAGATACAACATTTTACATATTCTTCATTTCGCTAGAATGAACGATTATTATATAAAATATTTTTATTTTTTACAAGCAGAGAGAGAGAGAGAGAGAGAGAGAGAGAGAGAGTCCCTTGTAAATCGAGCCCGTAGTCTCGCTCCTCTACTCTACTGACCAGGAATCTTCACGTAAACGCATGCCCCAGCCATTTTACTGCCGTAATTCCCTGCCCAAAACGCCCTGTCCTTTCCACGGTGCTCGAAGTAGATGGTGTCAAGACCAGGTCCATAGTTTTCAAATACATGCGAAACCTGTGCAAGATAAATTATACGTTTCTACTGTGTAAAACTGTGGGCGATTTTACTGATATTTACCTTGAGCCATTGATTCTGCTTCTCTCCCTCTAGAACATCGTTAAATTCAAACGTATCCATCACTAGGTTGTCACTGTTATATAATCTAACTTCCAACTGATATACCGCTGGACAGTCCCATCGACAGCTGTACCATTCGCTTACCTACGAAACACATGGCATTCGATGCGTTCGCAGAGTCGCTATTGTCGCTAAAAGCGTCAGTCTACCTTCGTTGCTCATTAAATGCTGAAGGAAGATAGAAGACGCTTTTCGTGCTAATAGCGTGCTCCGCGAACGTACATACAGTACCGGCCAGAATTATATCACCTTTAGGTTTTCTAAGCAATTTCGTTGGCAAATTAATTTGAAAATTAAGGTGCATTTTGCCAAATTTCATTACTCTTCGTGTACACTAGGGCCGATATTCGTAATCAGATCTTATATTCAAGACCGTCTTCAGATCATTTTTGGATACTTCGTAGCCAATGGAATGTTACATACAGCATCTTCAGATAAATTCAAGACTCGAGTGTAAGATCTGACTTTGAATACCGGCCTAGAAATCACTGATGCCTTCCCACGTGAATTTGCGCACATATCAACAAATTTATACAATTTTGCATATACATACGTGAAAAGTGTACATGTGTTCCACACGTGCCTTCATTCATAAGAGAAGGCATCGGTGATTTCTAGTGTACATACACTAGAGTCGGTTCTTCATAGTCGGATCTTATATTCAAGACTGTCTCAAGATCATCTTCAGATACTCTGTAGCCAATGAAATGTTACATACAGCATCTTCAGATAAATTCAAGACTCGAGTGTAAGATCTGACTTTGAATACCGGCCTAGAAATCACTGATGCCTTCCCATACGAATTTAGGCACACGTAGAACACGTACACATTTTCCATGTGTGCGCAAATCCATGTGCGAAGGCGACCAGGCTGCGTTCGAGCTCGAGAGCTCACTATCAGCGCTGCTTAGCGCCGAAGGCATCGTTCTATCTTTCTTCAATGCATAATGAACAACATAGAACGACGCTTTCAACGCTGAAGGTGCATTCGGGAGCTCACTATCAGCGCTACAAACGCGCTGAGAACGTTATTCTATCTTTGTTGCTAGTTATACGTCGACGAAAGACCGAACGACGCTAAGTAGCGTTGACGTAAGCGCCCGAACGCAGTCCTAGTGTACAGGATGCACCCGCTATCAGGTGTCCACTGTAAAATTTTCGAGCGCATTCGATGCACCTCCGACGAAAGTAACGCTCGAAGAGTCTAAAGGCGATACAAGCTTGACCGATTCCGTATACAATAATTTCCCACGCATAAAGTTTGACGTTACCACTATAGGTGGTTGATAAGTGTCCAGGATATACGGGTGGACTCCCTCTTTCGCCAGAACTACAGTTTGCGCTTTGTTGCACCACGCAAAGGACGTCGCGAAACAGATCTGTCTGTCTTTGAACAGCGGCTCGGCCGGCGGGAGCTCCGGCACGCCGACAGGTGGTTCCTCGACCACCCAGTCATTGGCGTGCCCTTCGCGGAGCAAACACTTCCAGTGGCGCAAGCTGTCCGCGCCCGAGTGGTTCCTCAGCAGGTTCCTCTCGTACGGCTTCTTGGCGCACGCCAGGTAGAACACGGACCAGGACATGTCGTCGCTCCACGGGAATGGCCGGGCCAGCGTCCGCTCGGTCTTCTTGTGCCAGACGTGTCTCATCAGCATCTTCCAGCGTTTGCAGACCAACTGGCAGCTCAGCAGGGTCTTGCAGTCGGCGCGGCAGAGGATCTCTATCAGCACCTCGACCGGCAGGTACCTGTCGCAGAGCACCAGGCCGTTGTCGCCCTCCTCGTCGAACGTCACGCGTGAGCCCGAGGCAGTGGCGTTGAATTGCCCCATTATCTGTCAACACACTCGTCACGTTACGCGGTGACGCGTCGACGCGTACGTTACCGGTGCCGCTGTAGCTGCCGACGTAGCTGCAACATCCAAGACGCTCGGTCGTGCGGGTGCTCTCGAGGGGAGGCGTCGTCGTCCTCCCGTCGCGCTGACGCACGCCGCGTGCGAGTACGCGAACAGCTGACGCCGCGCGACGGGAGGGAAGCGACATTCCTCGCGAAAGATCGCCCGGCGCTGTCGCTCGAGTCGAACGAGAGCACCGAGAGCGAATTGACCGCCGGTTACTTACGTTGCGTTTTCTCTACCTCCGAAAACTTCCCAGGGTCTACGCGAGAGGCGACAAGGCGAGCGTGACGTGGACGATACGCCTAGCTTTGAGTCATAACAGAAGACGCGTGTAGCCTGAAACTGCCGGACGCGCGCACGAATCCTGCTCCGAGCTCGAAACACGTGATCCCACGTGTTATCAACGCTCGTCTGCCGTTTCGCGGCACGCGTCCTCCGTAAATTCGCCGCACGTGAGAGAGAAACCCGCCAACCGCGCGTACGGACTCCCTCGAAATCGAGCTCTTCCCGAACGATCGGAACGAAGCTCTCCTCGCGCGATTCTCGGGCGCGAGGGAGGGGAAAGGAGAGAGAGATCGCGCGCAAATATGCCGAAGGTCCCTTTATTTCCAACGGAACGGTACAGCGTACAAAAACACGGTGTCGCTTAAAGGAAGTAGGTACGCGGCTTGCGGACGCTGAACAGCGGCATGCGATTCCTGTGCTGGATCCGCTTGGGCAGCGGGAACTTGATCTTGGAGTCGTGGAACTGCTTCACCTGGGGCCTGCGGCAGTTTATGGCCTTCACCACCTCCACCTTGATTATCTGTATGGAGTGGGCGCGCGCGCGATGACGGGCGCCCATGTCTCTGTAGCACTGCGTCACCGCCCCGCTCACCGAGAGGTCCCTGTACTCCCTGTACATGTTGTGCGTGCCGGAACGGGAGTCGTACCTCAGCCAGATCCCGAAGTTCTTGATTTTCATCGGGGTCTTCTCGGGGATCTGAAAAGGGATCGGGTTGTATCCCGGCGAACCAACGGGAGGTCTCGTCTTCACTCGGCTGAACCGGCTGCGACTAATCTGGAGCCTCCTTTTCTCTACGCTGGAGAGGGAGGGCCAGGGCCCGCGTCCACGACGCCAGAAACTTGGTCCAAGCCAGTCGGTTCAGCCGGAAAGAACGGACCCGAGAACAGCCAGTGCGTCTGCCCTTTTTCTTCTCGAGGCGGGACCGCGAGTCTTTCCCTCCGGCGCGAACTCGCCGAAGATCTCGTCCGAAGAACTCGACATTCGTCGAGGCTCTCGCTGTTCGCGAAATCGCGCCGAGGGAAAAGATTCGCGGTCCAACTCCTCTCCGTTCTTTGAACCTTTTGTACTTTTCGCTACTCCTTCTTTTTTTCCAATGCGAATTTCGACGTTTAATTGCGCGTTTCGTTTCAACTGTAAGAGGCGACGTACCGAGGCCAAGGAAGTACAGATTTAACAAGACGCAAGCGCGACAGCGCTGACGAGTACCTGCTTAAGAGACACAATTTCTCCGGTGGACTTCTTGAACTTCTTCAACTGGCGCAAGAAGTACCAGAACCTGGACTTGGCCACGATAGCGTCCGGTGCGAATATCCTCATTTTGTACAACGGCGTGGTCTTCTCCTTCTCGGTGGGGAGCTTGCGCCCTATCACCTCGAATTCCTTGAGCTGAAAGAGGCAAGAAAGACGACCGTTTCACTCCAATTCATCGTGAATCTAGCGTGAATCGCGCGACCATGCGTCGGCGTGCAGAGTTATAGGTTATGTCGCGCCGCGTGTCACGGCAAGGAGGTTTATCTCGACGTTTCTACGCGAATCCTACGTGAATACGCGACGCCTGGAACGCGAGAAAATAGCCGTCGGTGCCGACTCGCTCGTTTCTCGTGCAAAAATCGTAAAAATTGTTCACCTCTCCCTTCGCCTTCATTGTATCGTGCCACACGTTCAGCGATAAACCGGAAAGGGACTGTCGCCAGAGCCGCCATCGGCACGGCAGGAAGTTCCGGGGCGGCCATTCAGCTTTTGAAATACCAAATTAGAAATGTGTAGGAAACGCAAGTTGGAACAGCGAAGCGTAAAAGAAACCTCAAACGCTTAATTCTTTTACGCCTCGCTGCTCCAACTTACGTTTCCTACACATTTCGTTTACGCTCGTGTCACGCTTCCCTCACGTTCGATTCACGCTCGAATTTTTATTTTCATCAGGGCTAGAAACAGCCAACAAATTATACTCGAAGCGACGAGAGACTCACTGCGTTGATACGAGATGTATCCGAGTATGTACAAGAACCGTTTAAAGAAGCAATTATCGTCCGTAATTGTTGCACTTGAGAAATAAATTTCAAGTTCGCTAGCGCTTTGATTCTTGGATGTATGAATCGCGCTAGATATCAGTCTCGTTGGCTAAACGAGCGTAGATGGCAAATCGCGGTTTATCACCGACAGCGTTGCCCCTAGAAGCGAGTCTGTACTAAATATATCCAATTTTATCGACAAATTTGGCCTTTTGGTGCGAGTCCCGACTAAATATATCCGCTTTTATCGACAGAATTGCCTAAATTTAGTCTGGACTCGCACCAAAAGGCCAAATTTGTCGATAAAATCGGATATATTTAGTACAGACTCGCTCCTATTATAGGGGCAACGCTGTCGGTAAGGGGCAAAGTGTGTAGTGGTGTCTCGTTTTCACCCGGGCCTTTGGCGATCTGTCTATTAATTTGTGTCACCGACAGATATTTCGATAGGATTCGAACTACAATCGAACGTCAATCGTATCGAAAAATGCATGACCACGAGAGAAGTTGAAAACTTTTTACTTATTTACTTACGATGCGCAACGGCGGAGTTTTATCTACGTTGATTCTGCAATGGATAGATCCTGCAAATCTCCTCCACTTAAGGTGTCCTCCTCTTAGGTGTCGTTGTCTCAGCTGTCCTCCGACACACTCGCGAACTTACCCACTTCCGTTTGTAAAGTCACTTGTCACTGTATCCAAATGCCACTTCACTCTTTCGTTTGTAAAGTCACTTATCACTGTCACTGTATCCAAATGCCACTTCTTCGGTTTTCACTGTGTCCGATTCTCACTGAGTCCGATCGCCACTACGAATTGTTCCATTATATCGTCGCACCGATATTCGCACAAATCACTGACACAAATCGCGGGAACTCAACGATCGCACGATGATATCGATCATTAATTATTCACAGAGAGCGATCGCGGTTTCTTCCCGCACTTGTCGCGAACGCGAATCACGAAAGACTAATACAATATGCGAAGCGACGCGGGCATAACCGATCAGTTCGACCGTCGCCGCGTGAATGATCCTGCGTACGACGCCGTAAACACCTCTGCCGAAAACGGCGCACGGATTCCAAGAAATGACGTAGCGCCGTAAAAACCTCGGTCGAAAACAATCTATTATTCCTAAAAGTTGTTTTTATGTTTTTCAAACCCGCGCACCGCTCGGCAATTGTTTATGTCGAGCCGCCGCGCCGCCGGCGACCGCCGCACGGTCAGAGGACGTTCGCGCTTCGCAGTTTCGTTCGAGCCGCCGGGACGTACGCCACGGGGCGATGTGCGCGATATTTTCCGCGTAATTAAGTGACGCTACAACCGCGCGATCGAGCCGATCGATTTCGCAGACGCCGCGGGACGTCGTTCTCGTTTCTCGGCGACGTGACCCGCGTAGTACCGCCGGAGTAGCGCCGCGCAGTGGCCGCCGGGAACGGCACCATGTTGATCCATTCGAGGAGCGCCGTGGGCACGCAGTGAATCGGTCTCGTGCGATGGTCATCGTGTTTCACGGTACGCACAATCACAGAGTTCATCATTGTCCAATTTAACGTGACGCAGACTCGACCCTCGCGCGTCGGTGATCCTGCGAGACGCGTAGGTCTGGAACATTCCGGCCGAAATCTGACGCGCGGTCGGCGTCGCTACAGCGCCGGCGTTTCCTCGGGCGCCGCGAGTACACCGAGTTTTCTAAATTTCATTCGCGTCTTCTCGCGCGTGCAGTAATATCAGTGTTTTCCACGCGTGATGCGCGGCGAGAGTCGAGTTAATCTCGCGTATCTCCGCGAGTCCTGCCCGCCAAAACGTTGCCGTCGTTTCGCGCGACGCCGTCTCGCCAGATTTGGCCTCGTATTTCCGCGCGTAATTATCTCTCGTTCTCGTTGCAGTGATGTCCGCGTCGATTAACGTGCTGTCGGGAGTGCCGTGTCCTGCGTTAGTTGAGTAACTAGTGCTTCTCTTTCGCGAGTGTCGTGTTGTGTCAGTGCAAAATGGAGGAGTCTGAAGACAACCTGAGTGGAGGAGGAGGCCCGGAGAGGGCATCGGGCGCCAGCGGAGCAACTTTACGGTAAATGTTATTTTTCATTTTGTGTAAAAGTAATCTTTTTCCCCAGTTAATCGTTTAAACATTTAATCGAATAAAGTTTGACACGCATAAGAATTACTTATGCGACAACTATATTTTGCAAATATATTTTACAATATTAGTTTTCACATTGAACGCTGCTTTAACGAGTTCTATATTTGTGTTACAGAATCGGCGTAGCCAACTCCGCTGCTGCGCATCGGGTCGGTAAGTGAGTAGTTTCTTTATTGAGGTAATGAATCTCGCAGATCGTAGAATGTAGATGATAGACTGATATATTCTGGAGATTCGTTACCAAAAAGTGGATAGATTATAATATAAATTTCATGTTTACTTTAACATATTTCATTTGTCGAAGGGGAGTGATCGCGATTTTGATTGTGTAGGCTTGGCTGCTCGGTTGCAGCACGTCATATATTTTCACGCGAAATATGACGGATATTATTGATATGTACTCGTCAAGCTAATCTCTTGTAACCTAATCTATCCATTTTTCAGTAGCAAATTTATACATGTATGTAAAATAAAATACTATGACGTGAGATTCTAACATTTTGTCGAGAACGCTGAAGCTTTATATCATTTTTATAGCATTATTTGAGATTTTTGATTAACTAGATACTAGAATATTCAATTGTCGGTCTATCTGTCGTACGGAAAGTTTCTTTTCTCTGGATCTCACGTCATTTATTCTGTCATGTGTATCTCGCGATATACTTTCAAGATGCGTCTCGCATGAATACATGCATCGTTACACGCATCTTCGTGTTTTCGCGGTCGGTCTTCGCGATCAGTTTTAAGAAAATTTTTCAAGAAACTATTGTTTAATTTCATTCATATTATAAATTTTCATTAATCGCGGAATGTTATTAAAATAAATATAACGCGAAGTAAATTGTTTTTTCTATATACTTGAATTTCGAATTTGGAGATTGAGTCAGTCGAAGAGACAGACATTATCTATTCTCGAATAAATAACAGAAGTAAAAATATATTTGATGAGTTTTATTCGGTAAATTTTTTAAATCAATTTTTTTCTTCAATTAACTTCTCGTGGTCGTGCATTTTTTTTATACGATCGACGCTCGCATACAGTTCGAACCGTACGAAATATTTGTCGGTGACGATAATAAACTGACTGTGGAAGGAGTTTTCTTCCTTCTTGATCTCTGGTCAAAATGACCAGACTGTACATGGCCGGGAGCAACGAAAGGTATGTCCAATCTGGCCCAACGAAGGGATACGCCGAGTCAGTGGTCAATATTGGCCACTTTGATGTACTTATTATGTGAATGTGTTGTACGATATATGTTGATTTCTTCTTATGTGCCAAAATTCGGGTGGGTTATATTCTTATCTTCTTTACATATTCTCGCATATATGTGCGAGATTAAAAAGACCCCTATATTAAATCCCTATTAAATCGCGCGCGTATAATCCCCAATCGGTTCTCTTATAAATCGCGTCGCGGTTTTAGAAAGTCTTGCAGGTTTAATAACAAAAGGTTGAAACGCGGGTAGGTAGGAAAATGAATAAGACTATACAGCGGAATACGGATAGGTAGGGATTCGGGTAGGCAGGGACAGGGGGACATTACTGCATAATTAAAAAGATAGATAAAATTGTAACTACACTGTATTACTAGTAAATATAATTATATTTGTAATCGGATGCATATAATAAGTTGGAAGTTGTTATGCGTTTGTTAAGTTTTTACTTTTTTTGCTTAAAATTTTTGTGGATTCGATTTACTTTTAAGAGACCATTAACAAATACATTTGGGATATTTTTTATCCCAAACATGTAATATATATGTACATATTTTACATTGCGAGAATTTCATGTTATTGTATGCATACCGAATATTACATATAATGTAACGTCGAGGAAAATATTGTATTGTATAGATATTATATTTTTAATTTTATAATGTAATTATGTCTTTGTAAAGGAAATTACAAAAAGAATAAAATAAATAATAAAATTGTATTGCATAATAAAAAATCACATTGTAAAGAAAAGAGGTCCGCCGATCGAAATTGGCGAGGATGGTGGAGGACCTCATATTTTTGCAATGTATTTTCAATGTAAACACAATACCGTGCAATTATTAATACGTAACATTGGCGTTACATTAGCATTTATTCTATATTCAATATTACAATTTTTTTGGGCAATCTTGGCCAATACAATCAATCCAATATTAAATAATCATCTAGGTACAATATCAGTAGTATGTTTGCATTTGTTTTATGACCAATATTGGTGTTATATTAGGAAAATATTGGCCAATGCACTTGCAACATAACCAATGTTAGCGAATGTATAGCCAATTAATTATGCTTCTAGAGAGGCGCTTCCCAGTGAGAAATGATTCGTCGATCGACGTTGAAATGATGTCGAATCGACGTCAATTCGACGGTGTCGATGTCGATTCGACGTCGAAACGACGAATCATTTCTCACTGAGTTATACGCAAAGGCAAGGCCTATGCGATTTGTGGAGGTTTAAAAAATATATAAAGTAACTATTAATGTAACTATTAAACCCACCTATGGATGGGTCTCTGGAACTGAGTTGATGATATTACTTCGGGTACGTTTAAAATTAATATCAGTCAGCTTACAGAACAAAATGCACAGAAATTTAAAACATGTTTATTCAGTCCTTTATATATATATATATATATAGAACATATAAGTAATACATTATTTAACATTACCGATACTTAAATCTAAATGATATCCTGGTTTGTCAAAATTGAGACCATCTAACTAAAATGTTTAAATTATAACTACTTCTTGTATTGTCCAGTAGAATTGTATGCTTCTTTGTTATCGACTTGTGAAATGAAACTGCATATTCTCCTTCGTCCGCAAATATAAATATGTAATACCAATCGTCGAAAGGAGACTAAACAACGCGCATCTTGACTATGCAATATATCTCTAATTCGTAATCCCGAGATTACGTCAGAACTAAATCAATCCGGCCGTCAGCTTTCTTCTCGCACAATTATCAGGAGATATTGCCACAAATTTTACATCACACCGTGTGTGTAAGATATAAGAAACATGATATTACAAAGATATTACAAAGACATCTTACGACCTTCTATAGATATATCTACTGCTCTTCTTGCCGACTTCATACGTTTGCTGTCTATATAGTTTTTCATGTGTCTCTCGAATCGGCTCATCTGCTTCTTGGTGCTCTGCGCAGAATAACAAATCATTATAATTGCGTACAAGGAATTGCACGGCATTTTTATAAAAGTAAAAGAGCTAGTCGAGGGAAAACATTAAGGGGGAGAGTAGTATTTAACATCAATAGCTGAAATAAGGAAAGAATAAAACAAGGAATTGTAAAAACGATCGAGTATTGTAACTCTTTTGTGACAAAAGAGTGTAAACTGGTGTTTCAAAACAGTTGAAAGTTTAGAAATAAGCAACTTATCGGAAATTTGTAAATGTCAAATAATCTATAAGTACAATATAGACATAACTAACAATCTAATAGAACAATTGTGGCGCGAAGAAATGTGCGCTGCTTAGTAAATAAATGAACGAAAAAATCCGTGTTCAAATCCAGCCACGGACACCGCTGGTTTTTTCGGATTTCGGACGCCACTTCTCGGTGGGAAATGACAACCACCGAGAGTATCTCGCCACACATACCCCTTTAGGGGTATAGCCCTCCAGGGTGGAGGTTTCTGTCGGTAATGTTAGCAGCCTAAGTGAGTGTACTCTGGTAACCTGAGCAGCCTTTGGGGCTGTAGAGCCAGTTATGATGATGAATATAACAATTGTAGAATTTACGACTCGGAGATAGTCTTTTACTTGCCAACTTTAAAATTTGAAATGCACTATGTACAAATACCTACCCTACTGATATCAACGTCCGATTTCCAGTCGGGTCGTATGACATAATCTTTGTTAGATGGCCTGGGAACTCTGGCCCTTCCCACCCATCCAGGATCGCCCGGTCTCAATGGTCTGTGAGAGAGAAAAAGTTCAATGCAATGACAGTATAATAATAAATATCAGTCATTAAGAATTATTATCAAACACTGTACTTGGAATCTCCTTTCAAGGCCTTATTAATATCCTGCGATTTTTGGGAGGATCCACCGTCCTCAGATTTCCTTTTCTTCTGAGGCGTCTGTTCCAAGTCCCTCTGCATCCTCTCCTCCTTCGAAAGCGCCTTGAAATCCGCTGATAAATTAAAAATAGGTCGGGCCCACTCGTTAATTAACTTTCCAGCGCGTTCTTTGTTCTCCTTCGTTTCCTTCGGGTGCTTATAAAGGTACATTACAGCCTTCCCAATACCCGATTGCTTCAGCGAGGACTGATCAATTTTTGGAAACTATGAACGATACAAACGATACAGTGATATGACTAACGAATAAATAAAGTATAATACAGATTTTTTTATCAAATGAGGGAATTTATCTCGTACGATCTTACCTCCCACAATAATTTTAGAAGATTGTCTCTGATTTTAAGGGACGGTAACGAACGATCAGGCATCGGTGCTAACCAGTCAGTAAGGACTGACAGCACGTTGTGTTCCAAGAAAGCCAATTGCAAGTCATGCTTTTTCAGCTGCGACAACACTTTCGATAGCATACTAATCTTATTTGTGGCGGGTCTATTTTGTTGATTCAACTTTCTATCCTCTTCAGCCGCGCTTTTCATGTCTAATAACAATTGGGCTATAATGTCGTCGTTATCATTGATGATACCAATGTCCTTTCGTTTACGCCTACGGGATTGTTCTTCTTTCTTTCGTGCTAACATGCGATCGAAATCGGACAACATGTCATCCCTGAAAATATTGGATTTAATCAGCCTTACAAAATTATTAAATTCTGTTGCATCTTCTTAATTTTCCAATATATATATTGGAATTGGAATCTATATATTGTAATTAAATATATACTTACATTCCACCACGAGTAATAATTCCATCGTCAGAATCTTCGTTGTCCTGTTGCTCACTGACAATTGTTGCATCTAATTGTTTATCATCCTCAGGTTCACCTTCTTTCTCTTGATGCGCCTCATCGTCCTTCTTGCTCTCGTTCTCATTTTCACCCTCGGAATCAGACAACTCATTTTTCGTTCGTTTCTTCGCCTTGGCTTCATCAGTTTCTTCTTCAGAATCCGATAATACTCTTTTTCGTTTCCTAACTACTCCATCCGAATCTCTGCTAGGACTTCTAGACCTTCTAGATCCGGAGGCGGATCTAGATCTCGATCGAGACCGGGATTTGGAGCGCGAAGAATGCCTGGATTTTACGCTCGATCCAGACCTCGATCTTGATCTGGAACGTGATCTCGATCTCGACTTTGACCGTGAACGTGATTTTGATCTTGACCTCGATCTTGATTTCGATCTCGACCCTGATCTTGACCTTGAGCGTGAGCCTGAACGTGATCTCGAACCGGATTTAGATCTTGAACGAGATCGCGATCTCGATACTGACTTCCTGGATCCTGAACGAGACCTTGATCGCGATGCTCTTGAGGCAGATCTGGATCTGGATTTAGATTTACTAGACCGCGAACTGGATCTGGATCTCGAGCGGGAATTCTTTCTTGAACGCGCAGGAGACACGGAACCTTTACGCGAACCTGACGCGGACCTTGATTTCTGTGATCTTGATCGCGATCTCGAACGCGAGCCTTTTCTTGAACCCGATAAGGATCGGGATCTAGATTTCGATTTGGACTTTGAACGTGATAAAACTCGTCTTTCTCGCGAAGGTGATCTCGATTGTTTCCCAGATCCAGACCTTGATCTGGATCGTGACTTAGATTTTCTATCCGCTGAATTGGAACGAGATCTAAAACGGGGACTTTTCTCCAAATCTGGAGAACCTTTTCTAGAACTATTTACAGAACGCGATCTTGACCGTCTGGCTGTCGCTGGAGATCGATTTGGTGATGCTGAAGGCGAACGGGAACCTTTCTTTGATCCGGACGGAGATCTCGATCTCGATCTCGAGCTAGCTTTAACTTCTTTTGGATTAGCTGATCCCGATCTTGATCTAGATCTGGATCTTGTGTGGAAAGACTTGGGGGTTCCCGATCGAGAGCGTGAATGGACCGACGCTTTTGGGGACCCAGAATGGGATCGAGAAACAGATCTTGACCGAGATCGCGATTTGGAGATTGCACGGGGCGACGGGGATCTTGAAGACGGTTGAAAGTTCGCCTTCGGCGAAGTACATTTAGACGGAGTGTCACTTGGCTTCGGGGAATTCGATCTCGATCTGGAGCGTGAATTATTTCTCGATGCTGCAAGAGAACTCCTGGATGAGGAATGAGAGGAACTTCGGGATCTCGAGCCCGATTTAATTGAGCGATGCGAATGTGCCGGTGACTGCGAGCCATCTCTTGCACTCGTCTCCGTGCGTTCTGGAGAACGGGATTTGGAACGTGATCTGGATACACTCCTTTTGCCGTTCATCGGTGAAACAGATCCGTTTGGTGAAGGTGATCTGGATGGCGATCGAGAATAGGACTTTCTAGAGCTCGCGTTGGAACGAACAGAAGCCGGTGAGCCAGCCGGTGAGCCATTTTGCACCGGCGACGATTGACTCGATCTAAAATATTTAATTCCCGTTATAGAACAAAAGAGTGCCGATTTAAAAATACAAAGATAATTAAGCAAACAGATGTATCCGGGCACCTGGCAGGTGAAGATTTAGGACTGGCCGAGCGTGATTTTGATCTGTTTCCTGTTACATTGCTACCAGATTTTTGTGAATCCGGTGTACTGCTTCTGGATTTATCGTGTTCCTCTTCCGAGTCACTTCTTTTGTCTAAAAAGAAAAAGAAAATTCACGTATAACATCAAATTCTTTTTATGAAATCACCAAGAAGAAAATAATGCATAATTAGATAAAATGACGTACAAGGGCATTATATTTTTTATACAGGATTGACTCACTTGAGCAATTTAGAAATTATTGTTAAGGTTGCGATCCACTTGATGCTACAAATCGACTGATCTCTTTCGCAAAGTCGCGTCTCGATTTTCTGTAACTTCTGGCTTTCGTGCTTAAACACTCATTCCGGACCAGAAAGAAAAATCGAGATACGACCTTGCGAAAGAGACTAGTCAAAACACTTCAAAGCGTTCTTTTTCTTCCTTTTAATAAAGAAAAAGTAGAAGAACATTTCGAAGCAGTGTTTGCAGCAAGTGGACCTCAGATCTCACATTGCAAGTGATTTCAAACGCTTTTATGTAAAGTTGATCCATAAATAGAAAAATGCATTCACGAAGATCTCGCTAGAGATGCCTCGAGGTTGAGCCGAAACGTCCGAGGGGCAGTTAGTGATTAATTCATTTTTCAAGAAATACAACAAAATCCACACTGCTACAACTGCTACCTTCATCAAATATAACTTGAGTAAATTTTACTTTTTTTTACTCCCCTTTAGCTTCTTCCTCGGCGAATCAGTCGGCCAATAGAAACGATTTGAAAATTGTGCCAATATCTTAGCTTCCTCACACCGAAAAGCAAAGTTATGGTTCTCGTACGTTTACACTGTATCGTTCGTGTTCTAGGCGAGTGCTTCAGGCCCGGTCTATAATGAGTAGTTTAGTCAGAAGTTGCAACTATATGTGTTGATCCTTTTCCTTTCTGGGTGGAAGAAGAAGGACCGACATACAGTTCTGACTAACAACTCATTGTAGACCGAGCCTTACTTTTACATGCGCTCCGACAACGAATAAAATGTCTCTCGAACAGAACTTGAATCTCGATAAAGCAACAAATGTAAATAATTATCCTCACCTTCGAAACCCATGGCATCTATGCTCAAACGTGGTAAAAAGTGTGGTCTGTCGTGGCGATTAAAATATATTACGACTGGTCACTAATCAATGAACATAACTACTGTGTCGTTCTGCTTGCAACAATAATTCACAATTAATTCTTCATAGGCGACGTGCGCTTATTTTCGTACAGAAATCGGTGCTCCGGCTTGCGTAATGTCACCCTTTTTGGTTTCTACGCCGCGCTCTTTTTCTTCTCGTACAAATTCTTATAACAATATCGACCGTGAGGTCTCGTTGTAGAGCTAGCTGTTCGGTCAACAGTAACCGTCGAGGCTCTCGCTGATCTTCAATTCTTCTTTAATACGTTGAATCGCGTGGTCACGAGTGATCGCGTCGGGTCTTCGGCAATTTCGGCTTGAAGATAAGCTACCATGATTTATACGGATTCGAGAGAAGGGGCTTCCACAGGACGCCTGGGGCGCCCTCTCGACGAAACCAATCTAGTTACGAACTGGGCTGCTAAAGGCCTGTGTCCACGATGCTAGAATTTGGTCCAAGTTCTAGTCCCGAGAAATGTGTAGCCAATTAACGTGCAGCTTTTATGGAATAGCTGCAAGTTGATTGGCCACACGTTTTTCGAAACTAGAACTTGGACCAAATTCTAGCATCGTGGACACAGGCCTTAAAAGGACCTTGTACTATGATTGGTCAAATCTGAAAATTTCATTGAATAAAATTTCAACGCGATGCTATGAAATTTCAGATTTGACCAATCATAGCACAAGGTCATTTTAATCTTGATCATTTTGATCTTCTCGCGAAAGCAGCCCTCGTACAATAATGAGGGGGGATTCTCACTGTTCCAAATTTTCCAATTTCGCGTGAAGATTTGCAAAGAAGTACAAACCAACCCAGGTTAACACACTCGAGCGCAGTTTGCCACTGTGAAGTGACAAAGATTTAAAGATCAAGGTTTTAAGAAAAGGTTCTGTCGAGATAGAAGATTCTATCAAAATATTCGGAGCGGATGCGTTCTTCGGTCACAAACACTACGACTTTCCTCCCGAGTAGAGTCCCGTAATAAGAGTGGACAGAGTTCTAGTTTGACAAAACATGGCGTGATATGGTCTGTTCGTTATCGCTGTACTGTTGAACCAGTGCAGCAGTGCAGCGGTAACGAACAGACCAAAGGTGGCCATATTTAAAATAATAAATAATACCGCGTTCAGAGTAACAGATTCGAGACACGTTATTGGCTCTGCCATATTTCGTCGAATCCAATAAAACGTAGGTTATTCCTGTCCAGACGCTTACTACATATTGTTACTATTATAATAAATAAATTTATAAAATATATAACAGAGTAAAAAATGCGGATTTTCCCGTAGTCTGGAACAATATGATGAATCAATCGAAAATTGTCTAAACTGTGTCCATCGAGGTTCTTATTTCAACAAATCCGCGATCTGCGGCGCGAGTCTTGAATCATTCGTAAGAGAATTCTGCTCTTACAGAAATGTTGATTTCTCTCTATCTCTTCTTCTTCAATCGACCCGCAACTTTTCCGCAAGAGTAGAGAATTTTCTCCTCCTCGAATGATTCGAGAAATTCGAGTTCCCGAGCCGCGACTCGATTCTTGAATTTATCCGACAGAGAAACGCGTGCAAAAATTTTACTCTGACAGAAGAGTTGAGGGTCGATTGGCCAAAAGCCAATGCGAACAGCCGGTCAACTCGCAACTTTATTCCGTAGGAGTGCGAATTTTCGCATACGTTTCTCTCTTTCGAGTGAAGTAAAAAAAAACGGAGCCCCCGGTGTACCGCAGGCGCGGGCACAAAGCGAAGCGCGAGCGCGCCGGTCTAACCGCCCGGCGCAGGCGCACCGCGGCGGCCGGCGCGGCGCCGAGGATCGCCGAGCCCGGCCGAGGCGCGCCGAGCCGCGCGCTCAGGGTACACTATGGCGGCCGTGGCAAAATATTCGCCGTCTGCGTGCGAGAAGTGAGTGATCTCGTTGTGCACGGGGGTACGGGGCCCGCGAGCCGAGTCGCGAACGGTATTCGGTGTGTGTGCGCGCGCGCGCCTTGACGACGGACGGCCCGCCCGGAGCGCGAGCCGTCGAGTCGCCTGCCAGCCGGGCCAGGGTAACCGGGACTTACGCGCCGCGGCGAACGCTCGTCGACGTTTTCGTGCGCGCACCGCGACGACGACAAGCCGTCGGAGCGGCCCCGATGCGGGTCGCGCGCGCTCGTCTCAGGGCAAATGATGACTTCGATGCTGCCCAGCTTTAACCCGCCTATCGTCAAGCGGCTGCTGGGCTGGAAGAAGGCCGAGAGCGAGGACAAATGGAGCGAGAAGGCCGTTAAGAGCCTGGTCAAGAAGCTCAAGAAGTCCGCGGGCCTCGACGAGCTCGAGAAGGCCATCACGACGCAGAGCTGCAACACCAAGTGCATCACTATACCTAGGTACGTACGTGTTTGTACATACTCGCCGACTTGCGCCGAAACTGCGCTCAATTCTCGGTACGTGCGCGCGTATTCCCGACACCCCGATGCACCGAGAGCGAGAGAAAGAAGGAAAGGAAGGAAGAAAGGGAGAGAAGAAGAAGAAGGAAAAGTACGTCGAGCCGGGACGACGCAGGCGGAGAAAGAAAGCGAAAGATGGAGCGGAGAGAAGAGGAAAAATCGCGCGCGCTCGCGCGCGCCTGTGTATGCGCGATGCATCGCGTCTACACGCACACGCGGCCGCGCCGTGTGTGCGCGCGCGCGCGCGCGCGAGACGGTTTGGTGCGTGTACGGGCACACGCATGACGGTTCTTTTTTTACCAATCGCGCGCCGCGTGCACGCGTCTCTCCGCCTGCTCCTCCGTTCCTATTAGTGATCGCCGACGTCTCGCGCCGCGCGCGCTCACCTGCGCCGATCCGTATACGCGCGCCGGGCGATAACGATAAGAACTCGGCGCGAGGATAAGCGCCGACACGTCGGTGCGCACGGGTGACGACGGGTCGCGTTTGTAGAACGGCGACCGATCGGCGTGATACGCACGCACGCACGCACGCATGCATGCACAGGTAAACACGCTGGGTCTCACTGGGGCACGTGCATGCGGGAGGCACGTGGTCAGGCCGGAGACCCTCCTTCGCGAGCGAGTCGCCCGTTTTCCACGACAGCGCGGACTAATTTTTATCTCGGTTCAATTTACTTTGTTTTCGAACAATAAAATTCACGTGGCTCTGACGTGGAGTCACAACTCGAAGGAATGACGGATATTAGAGGCAAGGCAGGATGTTGGTGTCCAAGTGATTTTAATTTTTGACAACCATCGCGGAGAGTTTACCTCGGCCAGGGGGGTTTTTCTTCTAGTTCTGGTTTTCACCGACGTCACTCAACCTTCATCGTAGCTTAGTTCTTCCGTCTTTCTCCAACTGTCCCCTTGGAAAGAGACGAACGGGTGAATTTTATCGGGATCGAAGGTAAACGGCGTCGGCGAAAGTCTGGACAAGAGTTACGAAAGGCAGAAATATAAAAGTACGACCGGGTCGTCTCAAGTAGCGTCTTAAGATGCTCTGTGATTGGGGTTTAATCGCTCACGACGATCTTAAATAGGCAGAAGAGCAGACTATGGGTAGCCTGAGTTAAACCGAGATTGAGATTAATTTACATTGGTAGAAATGGACAGTCGAGCCTCTCGAGACGCCGAGTCGACCTCGCTTTTTGCGAATTTCTTCACTTGAACAATTACAGCGAGACACGGAGAATTCGAACCCTTATGTACTGCAATCTTATTAGAAAGATCTAATTTGGCACCCCCTACGGTTCATACTCTTTTATTTTTCTTTCTTTTCACATTTCTTTTACATCTTTTTTACATTTTTAATTTTAACTTGTGACAAAACCGTTGATTGTTTATACATATGTGCATTTAATTTGCATATATTTTCTTCGCCTCAGTTTGTAACTTCGTCGATTTTCTAATATTTTTTAACTTTGAGGCTGCGAAGCGAAGATTACCGCAAGACGGGGAGGGTATGCGTTTCACCGATCCGAGGTCGAGTCGACTACTCCGTTTTGATAGCTAATTTGACATCAACCTATGCTCGCGAGTCTCATATTAATCGTACTTGCATTTCTCCCGGAAGGCTGATCGGTTTGGCGGGGAACCGAGAGAGGGATCGGGATCGAAACGTTTCCAACTTTCAGGAAAGCCTCGCAACATTTCGTCGCGTTGGAATCGTTAGATCGTAACGAGCTGAGACGAATTTCTCTGTACTCGCTGTAAAATGCGATACGGGACTCGCGCCATACGCGCGTCCTTCGTTCGCGCGCGGGCGGCGCGTTCCCGCTAATAACCGGCGGGGCTTGGGTTTTTACAGACGATCGTTGTGTCGTGTCTGCAATCGAGACGAGGATTCCTTTCGCCGGGTCGCGACGGTGACGCAAGCGTGCGTTCGCCTTAGCTCGAAATACGGGAGCCGCTGGCTGTCACCGCCGCGTGGGCGAGCTCGTCGATCGCCCGAATCGCTCGCGCGGTGCGTATGTCGCGCGTGCGAAGAAGCGCGGGGCGCGCAAACGCCGCGCGCCGGCTCGAAAACCGGCGAGGTGCGCCCGTACAATCCTTGACCTACGGCAAATGCGGTTCTCGTCGGGGATCCCCTCATCCCCCCCCAACCCGACCTCGCACCGTCCGACCGGACGATTAATAACGACTGCCGATCGCGCGGAGTCGCAAGTCTAATCTACAATGTGTTCTTTGCGTCTAGAAACGTTCTGTTTTGTAGCCAATAAATACACGTTTGAAAAATTTGTGCAGAGTTGACAAATTGTACGTTACACCCAGTATACGGTGCATTAATTCGGCTCGGGTAATGATTAGGGATGGACGGAAATTACTCGATTATTTAAACATAATTATACTATCTTATTCTACTAATTAATATGAGCAACTTTCGTCTGAAACATTTTTTGATTTGCCCAATACTTTTTGAGATATTCAAGAGAAAATTGATAACTTTTTCAATGTTTAGCTTATGATATCTCGATAACTGTTTGTCGGAGGGAAAAGCAGTACAGGACTTTTTTTTACTTGATTTCGTCTCAGGAATATGTTGTTGCAATAGTGCTCTAGTTATTGAAATTTTTTGCGTATGTGAATTTTATGTGTTATCATTTAAAATGAGACCCCCTGTATATTCATATGAACATATTTGCTTAAAATGACCGACGCTATCAGCTCCAAGAATATTGATCTTTCCTTCTGGAACACCCTGTATAAAATAGAATGTTTCTAAACGCAAAGAGCACATTGTAGAGTAGGCTTTAAGGCCCGAACACACCAAGAAATTTAAGCAGTACAACTTAAGACTTAAGGAAATGACCAAAGAGAATCAAGAGCGTAAGCAGTCACTTTGAAACATATACCTATTGGTTGGAAATTCTTAGCGTCAGAAATTCCGAGTCTCAAGCTCTACTCTCTAAAAGTCCATCAGTATATTATAATTGCGAATCGGTGAATATTTACTGTTTTCAGTGATAATCCGCTGATTGACTTTTAGAGAGTAAACGCGCGAAAAAAAAAACTTGACACTTAATTTCAACATGGCTTAAGTTTCAAGGTGGCTGCTTACGTTCCCGACTGTGTCATCGGCCACTTCCCTCGAGTCTTAAGTCTTACTGCTGAAGTTTTTTCGCGTGTTTCCAGCTTGAATTTCCATTCGAGTCCCGCAGTCACGGGGGATGCGCGGCATCCGAAAGACAAAGACGATCGACCGCGCGAGCGAGACGCGCCCCGTGCCTCTCGCGCTCGCTCCGCCAGCGCGTAGAACCGTATTGATGTAACTCGATAAAAGACTCGAGTCATGCCTTCGCTTTGATCTCGCCTTGATAGAATCAATTGCGGCGATAAAATAGACGCGACGCCCGAAGGCATTTTCTAATTGGACTATCGCGGATGTGTACACATCCGCGCGTATGCGCGATAACAGGACACCGGTGTTTATTCCAGTCGCGCCTGTTTGAACCTTCCTTCTTATTTTATTATTATTTTATTATCATTTGGTTATTACGAAGGAGGAAACATGGTGGGAGGGAAGCTAAGCGCCTCGATGCGAGGCGCCTCCCGCGTCCGCAGAAATTAAAGGAACAAACGTTCCTCACCGATCGAACTCTGGCGGAGGAAACATCGGCCTCTTCCGTGGAATTATCGATAAAGTTCGTTTCCGCGAGATCAGAATCTCATTAGCGCGCACTGACTGCCACGTCATACGTGACGACGGGCTCCTCCGTTTCCGAGGAGAGCGCCTCGTCACTCGACTACAAACGGCACCAAATTTCCGTAGTGTTTTACGACGAAGAGGTAAACGATGAAGGAAGGCGCGTTCGGCCGCTTGTGAAATTGAATGCGATTCCTATATGAATGACGTGGCGGGGCCGACGTACGGTACGGACGGATCGATCGCGTCAAAATTCTGAAAATGGGACAGTAGTCGGTAGTAGTTTCTCGCGAGCAACACCCACGTACGTGACGACTCACATGTTCCGCGCCGACAACACGTGACGGCGAGAGCGAAGCCTCGTCTACAACGTGCACGTTGCGTCTGAAAACATTTTATTTTGTGGCCATTGAGTGCGTTTAAAACAATAAATCGCACATTATACACCGAGAGATCCATTTTGTTGAATGAAACGAAATAATTTGATTCAATCATTTTGTTGACTGAACATGTAATTCGATTGTATAAAACGAAAGATATGTTGCTGAAAAGAAGTTAAATGTTACAACTAAATATTTTGTTTCCATGAGTTGTTTGTTCCAACAACATTTTGTGGTCGAGATAAATTTGTCCATCTCAAAGTACGGTATTCCGCCACTAGATGGCTGCCGAACTCGTAAGTGATAAGAGACTAATCAGATAGGAATCGCCAACAGAGTTGTCCGACATGTTCAGTCAAATCCAACGAGAGAGAGAGAGAGCAGTACGAATATTCCACACTCTCTTTAAGCTGCCATCAGATCGAGACGTAGCCTAAAATATAACCGCACTTCGCACGAAGTTTGATAATAGTGTGGGTGGATGTGCAGCACCATTTTTGCAATAACACCTCGACAAAGGGATACGCATCAAAATAATCAAAATCAATCACGATAACCTGTTGTTTGTAAAACTATAAAAGTTGATAAAAATTGTCGATTCAAAATTCAGCGGGAAAATCATAAACATGGCGAACCAATCAGAAGCTGGCTACCGCATGTCCAGACTCTGATTAGAGGGTCTCTAGTAAGTGAGATCACGATGGTCCGACATATAAGGTATACCCGTCACGGGCCGGGACGGTTCTTTCGCGACAGTCAGCGGAATAAGCGAAAGTGCAGATTGCTGAATATGTTGCTGAAAAGAAGTTAAATGTTACAACTAACTATTTGGTTTCCATGAGTTGTTTATTTCAACAAAATTTTACGGTTGAGATA